GTGATTTAAAATGGCTGCAGCATCGGAGGGTCATGTGATCACTATTGCAGCCTTCTCAGATGGCTTCCAACAAGCAAAGTCAATGGGGGAACCGGATTTCTTTAATGATCGTGAGATTCACTTACCAACTGTAATGATTCGCAAAAAGGGTCATAAAATTGGGCGCAATTCGCTTAACAACCACTTTGCTTACAATGGAAATTCTGGTCCCAGTTATGGTTCTACCTCAAGGACTACCTGTAGTAATTGCACTCTCATCAATGCCATTTAAAGAAAATTTGATAGGAAATAAAACACGAATTCTGTATCTAATTTCCCAGTCCCTTTTTAATATGTAATAACAGGTTCAAAGTTTAGAACTGACAAGTTGTGGTGAATGTTAGCTCATGCACGAACTTAAGATTTTATTCAGACTCTCTTCGAAAAGTTGTGATGTCAGCAGAATAAGGATCCATGAGAAGAGTTTTCTTGCTGGTATTTGTGATACAATTATTATTTTTTAAAAAATATCTCCAGCCTTTTTTATTTTTTTAAAAAGCCCACTGTTTTATTAATTAATTATAATCATTGCCTTGCTCTGATTTCATCTTTGGTTTCTTCTTATCTTCCATCCTCCAATTATTCTTTTATTTGTATTATGGATCCCATTATTATATTGTTTATGAATTGCCTGTGAACCAGGGGTGAAATCTACTTACCTTCCCTACCGGTTTGGAAGTGTGTGCACTGTGCGTGCCATGTGTGATTTTGGACCCTCTGAGCATGCCCAAAGCCTTCTGCGCATGTGCAGAGGGTAAAAAACAGGTTACTTCCTAGTTAAAACCAGGAAGTAATAATGTCTGGGTGGGTGGGTGGGCGGAGCCTCACGCTGCCGCCGCTACCAGTTCTCCGAACCACCTGCCACCAGCACTACCGGTTCGCCCAAACCGGTGCGAACTAGTAGTATTTCACCTCTGCTGTGAACCTTTTGAGGATGAATGGGAAACAAGATAAACATTTATAAATTTTGAGAAATAGCGTAAACATCCTTATGCTATTCATTTCTTTGTTCTCTGTTCCACTCATGAGATCTCACTGGTAGGGATAGCGAAAAAACATTGTTTTAACATTAAGAAAATGGTCCCAGGGGTTGAAGGAGATGCTCTTCAAGAATTTTCTTCTGCAGGTAGCTCTGAATTTGTTTTCCGGTTATGTCATACATGCAAGTACACCCACTCTGCCACTGTCATAATTATTCTAGACTCTCTTGGTGACTACAGTGCATATGTCACAACCGGAGGATATCTATAAGCCTTGAATGATGAGAACAATTCTTTCAAGCTAGGGCTTTAGGGACCTAGAGAGAAATTACTCTACCCACCTGTCATGATCCTCTTCATTTTAAAAGAACTGCCGGGACTGTCTTTAGAAATCATCAACACAGTCGGTTCACTTTTTCTGACCTTAATCTAATACAGTGGTTCCATCACTTGTGAGCCAAAGACTAAAGTCTGCCTTTAAAAAATTAAGCTTAGCTTTTGCAAACAACTGTCATGTTGGCTCCTTCCCCCAAATATTGTCATCTCATGGGAACCAGGAAGCATGCCTTTTCTGTGGCAGCCCCTGCCCTATAGAATATCTTGCCCCCTGAAGTTCCACTCCACCCTTTTAGCCTTCTGTAAGGCTTTAAAGGCCTGACTTTTCCTTCCAAGTGTTGGAAGAAGATTGCACAATGAATGGCACGTTAGCATGGATTGGCCCCAGGTTTTTGTTATTTTAAATGCTTTATGTTTTAATCGGTTGGGTTATATAGTTTTTCAAGTGGTTTTACGTGCCTTTTAATCTTCGCTTGGGAGCCGCTCAGAGTTGCCTGAAAATACGGGTGGCTGTTTCAGTCTTTGAAATGAATAAATAAAATATTGTATTTGTTGGAACTGGGGGGTGTCTTTCCACTGTGGTTGCCACCTGCTGTGCCTGCTTAAAGTCACCTATAAGGTGCAGGCACTGGAGAATTCCTGAACATTACCATGTCCCCAAAGGGAAGTCTGATTCCTAAACTCTGCTGACTAAGTAGATGGGAAAGCAGGGCAAATTTAATTACTTAAGTAGCCTGTAATGACAAGGAAGATGTTGCTTTGAGAGCAGATGAAGATGCGAATTGCCTATTGCGTATGTATATAAACCAGGGTGGGCTGCTGGGGGTTCGCAGGGGTTCGGGAGAACCTCTAGCTAAGATTCTGTGCAGTTCGGAGAACCCCCAAATCCCACTCCTGGCTGGCTCCATCCCCTCCCAGGAGTCCCCAAGCGGCCCGTTTTGGATGCAGGTAAGTGCAGGGTGCATACAGAGGCTCAGGGAGGGCGAAAACCGGGCCTACCAGAAGGTCAGGAAGGCCGGAAACGGAAAAGGACTGTTTCCAGCCTCCAGAGGGCCTCCAGAGCCTGGGGAGGCCGTTTTTGCCCTCCCAGAGGCTCAAGGAAAGCCTCCGGAACCCGGGGAGGGCAAAAACACCCTCCCGCTAGCCAACGCCCACCATGGCCACGCCCACCCAGCAACCGGGCAGAGAACCCCTTGCTAAAATTTTTGAAGCACACCCCTGTATATAACCATGATGTGTATTCCCAGCTTTTTCCTGCAAAATTTCCCGCCTGGTGCTTTAACCACAAGACCAAAATTCTATATTCCTAGATTCCATGAAGAAGTTTGATTATAATCAGTTAACAAATATTTAACCAAAACAGTTAGCCAAAATATTATTGGTTCTTGGACCCAGTGTTACAATATACCTCTATCTGTATTTTTCTTTCAGTTATGTACTAGAAATAAGGAAAGAATTTATTTTAGAAAAACATTATTGATATTTGTATATTTCAATTTAATTTTAATAATTGTGATAAATCCAAGAAGATTTCTTTTTCCCATTCAAGAAGAGCATGTTTATTCATTCAGAAAATTGCTTTTCAGCTGTAATGTTCAGAAACTATAATTATGAATTTCTACTCCATATTTGTTGCAGATGTGGCCAATTTTTGCATCATTTGCCTTAATTGTTGAAGAGTTTAGAACTAAATTAAGGTGTTCTAAAGCAGTTTATCTGCAAGTGAGAAAAATGTGCAAATGTTGAAATAAGGCCGTCTCTGTAGCCAAGATATTATTAATATTACCGTAGAAGAGAATTGTAGTAAGAGATAGGTATTCGGTGGCTTTACTTGGTTGAAATAAATATCTGTTGTCTTCATTTGTTCTCTTTGTAAACCCAGACATGTAACTCCTCTTTGCCCTCTGAACCTATGAATAAATTCCTTGATGCAAACATCGCTGATGTGATGGACAACACGTCAACGTGGAATGAGGAGCTGGAAAATGAGCTTTTAAAAGGTAAATCCATATCTCTGCTCCTCATTGTACATGACCTGCAAACTCTGGGTATGAAAGTGGTACAACTGTAAAACACATTATTATATTCAGCTAGTCCTCAGTTAATGATGTAATGTCTCCTACCAAGTAACTTAGTTAAAAAGTGCAATGTCATGTGAATGCAGTGCTTAGAGCCACAGAAACTCCGCACTTCTAAGCAAGAAAAACCAAATGCACAGGTACGGTATAGGTGACACCTTGCTCAATAGTAGTAACTGTGAGAGGGATGTTGGAGTCCTAGTGGACAATCACTTAAATATGAGCCAGCACTGTGCTGCAGCTGCCAAAAAACCCAACACACTTCTAGGCTGCATTAGCAGAGGAATAAAATCAAGATTATGTGATGTGTTAATACCACTTTATAATGCCTTGGTAAGGCCACACTTGAAATACTGCATCCAGTTTTGGTTGCCACAATGTAAAAAAGATGTTGAGACTCTAGAAAGAGTACAGAGAAGAGCAACAAAGATAATTAGGGGACTGGAGGCTAAAACCTATAAAGAACGGTTGCTGGAATTGGGTTTGTCCAGTTTGATGAAAAGAAGAACTAAGGGTGACATGATAGCAGTGTTCCAATATCTGAGGGGCTGCCCCAAAGAAGAGGGAGTCAAACTATTCTCCAAAGTAACTGAAGGCAGGAAAAGAAGCAACGGGTGGAAACTAATCAAGGAAAGAAGCAACTTAGAACTAAGAAGAAATTTCCTGACAGTTAGAACAATTAATCACTGGAACAAATTGCCTCCAGAAGTTGTGGGTGCTCCAATATTGGACGTTTTTAAGAAGAGATTGGACAACCATTTGTCTGAAGTGATGTAGGGTTTCCTGCCTAAGCAGGAGAAGACCTCCAAGGTCCTTTCCGACTCTGTTATTCTATTCTGTTCTGTTCTGTTCTGTTCTGTTCTGTTCTGTTCTATTCGCCATTGTTAAGTGTGGGTCATTAAACGAGGGTGTCACATGATACTTTTAATATTTATAATACAATTGTGATCTCCTACTGGCTTCACATTCATTTTAGGAAGCTTGCAAAGGAGGTTGCAAATGGTGATGACGTAATCATGTGCCAGTGTTGAGTGCCTGATTTGTGATCATGTGACTGCGGGGATACTATGACACTTAAGTGTGAGGACTAGTCGTAATTGCCATTTGTTCAGCACCATTATCAGTTCAAACAGTCCCTGAACAAGCGGATGTTAAACAAGGACCACCTGTAATGCCACTGTGGCCTACAGTTGGTGCTTTCCGAATGTGCTAAACTTCAGTTCCCAGTCAGTCTACTGGCAATGCTTTCCAAGAATTCTGGGAGTTGAAGGAAATGTGTGTATAGGACAATAGCCTGGGGCAGACTGCCCTGTAGTTTCACCAAGATCCTCTGAGTGGAGTAATAAATGAATTAGATAATCACATAATGGGATTATTACCTTCCAATTCATCTATAGCCATCCTGTTTACCTTCAGGCATTAACGCAATCTACCCAGACAAGAACTGACACTTGTCAAAAATTTTGAGTGCGTCCTTTGGTTAGCTACAATGGTGCTACTGTCACTGCATGGGGACATTAATTGGGTCTCATTGTCCAGGAAGACTGCCAAACAACTCGCCACCAACCAACATCCAGTTAATTGTATTAGTGTTGTTTGAAAAGACTGTATTGAATTATAAGGCTGAACCAGTGGAGTATGAATGATAGTCCTTGAGATGCAGTTCGTCTTCTTTCTTGCTCTGCTTCCTCAAAGCTTCATCTTCTTGCTATTTAACGTTGTGTGCAGTTTCTGTAGTACATTCTGTGCAGCACTTTGGTAATCCTCACTACCCACCCAGGTAAAGACAGGAAAAACAGTCCCTAAAAGCAAGTGGAGAAAATCAGATGTTGTGGGAGCAGCCATAATAATCCCTCCAGAAACTCCAGGACTCTCTTAAACTGTCTGATGCTTCTCCTTAATCTTTTCCTCCAAGTTTAAATATTCAAATATTCCTATTTTTCCTCACAGAGCAGAGACAAAAAACCACTCTCTACTTCAGATTTTCAGATTTTGAGCCCATATAGCAGTGTTTCCCAACCTTAACAACTTAAAAGATATGTGGACTTCAACCCTCAAAGCAAGCTGGGGAATTCTGGAGGTTGAAGCCCACATGCCTAGATGGAGAAATGCTGGCATAGAGATTATGGCTAGGGATAAGGTGACCTTACCAGAGTACACAGAATAGGCCCATTCTTTTCAATTTTGGGATTGAAGATAAGGGGTAAAATAAATGTTTTAAATCCCATTCATGGAGAAATGATGCTTGGCTTGATCCTTAATTTGCATTGAAAAGCCCATAAAATGTCAGTGACAGTATTGTCGGGTTGTTGCTGAATTTCAGTGGTGTGATTAGATGGTGCTTCAGAGACCACAGCAAGTCATTGTTGGAGAGTTAGACCTTTGCTCCTTTAAAGTGTTTATTTTTCTACCTCAGTTAAATAATTGATAGGGAAAGGGTTATCTCTTTCCCCTAAGCGAACTAAGGAATGATAGGTACAGGCTAACACACGCAGCACAAAAAAATAATAATTACACCTTGCATCCCCAAGGTGAAAATACTTTGCAAATTAATCTCCCCGCATTCTTGGCAGTTAGAAAATGTTCTTGAAATGAATTTTAGATTTAATATTTAACTCAAAAGGAACAGCTAGCAAACAAGTATATATTCATTTATCCAAGTATATCATATGTAAGGATGCGAATGAATTCAGTTATGAATTCTGCAATCTGCTTTCAACAGAATGTGCCATAACAAGCACATTAGCTTTAAATTAAGATTAGAGAAAAATCAGTAACACATGGAACAACATTCATGCAATCTAACATACTGATTTTGTAATGTTTTCTGTTGATTTTAACCTGTTTTAACTTGTAAGAAAATTGCATTTCAATAAAAAGAACAAAAGCCTCATAAAATGATTGAGAGAGAAAAATTGCGTGTTTAAAAATGCCTCTGACAGTGTGTATCAAAAACTTTTAAGTATATTTGTTATTATGCTGGTGTCTTAATTAAAATAGAGATATATAGGGGATTTTATTTTATGTTGAACAATAACTCACAGCAGGTTGATCTATGTCAATGTTGAAAAATAAAATTAATTCCTTCCTTCTTCTCTGTTCACTAGTTTTGGACAGTCTGGATAACCAGCTGGCAAAAGAACAATTTCAAGATACTATGAATACAAGGACTCCAACTAACTACGGCTCTACAGCACCAGAAATCCATCATCATTCCACTGTTGTGCAACCAAATTTCCTCGGAGAAGTACAGAGAAATGACCAGAACTTGTTTTTCCCAGATAGAACAAGGACATTACGAGCCAGAGATAAATACAAAACTCTCTTCACACCAAGGAGGCTTTATGATAATTATACAAAGCAGCATCACCCAGAAAAATACATATATGGGGATTTGTATGATGAAAAATCTGTTTTGAAGAGAGGATATTCTACTTGTTCTCTTGGACGTTCTTCAGAAGATAGGTTGGCATTTCCATCAGGATCATACAGTAATGGATTTGGTCCTAAGAACTTCATGTGCAAGAATAAAATGGGCAGAAGTTACTCTTTGTCTTGCCTTACAAGGCGCTCGTCTTTGATGTCTGCTGACGGGTTTTCCACCGGTACCTTACAGCATGATTTGGAAAACAATGTGGACTTCACAAAAGCCAACTTCCAGCATCCTTCCAGACGGACTCCTCTTTCATCTATTGTATGGAATATGCCACAGTCTTCTAGATATTCACTACATCCAAACAGACTTCGTAGAACACAGTCATTAATAGAATTTAACTCAGCATTCGAGGACAGACATCTTTGTTCTCCAGAGGAAAATACAAGATATAAAATTTTTAGGTCAAAGACGAATTACCGACCAGTAATACCAAACAAGAGCCATCCTTTATTCACCGAGAGACGTATAGACCCTCTGTGTTTCGACAATCGGGAGAATTATGTGTTACATCCATTGAAAAATGTCTCCAAACCACGTTACAGATATCCATCATTTCATGGTAAAATGAATCTGTCCCCAAACAATCTTCCTTTTGGAAGAACGGAGGAGTATCTTTTTAGACGTCATAATCAGTATTTCAGGGATGCTAACCGTGTCCCTGATGTAAACTTTGAACAGGCGATTGACGGGCGAAGTGACTCCTGGGGGAAAAAAGATGTATGGCAAAGTGAACATATGCGTGACTGTGCCTCAGAATACACAAAGAGTAGGGACCATCCAGGAAGAGGAACTAACAAATTGTTTGTAAAGTGTTCAAAAGGCGTGCAGAAAAGTCCAACTTATGTCTCAGCTGCTTTGGAGAACCAAACTGAATATGCAGCGCCAAGTCCAAGTCATTTTAGTGGAGATAGTCAAGCCCCTTCAAAGACATTTGTTAAACCCATTCAAACCAAGAAAAACTCTAAAATGCGTGGCATGGAAGAGGTGAATGGTGCTGATCAGTCAGACAAAATGGATAGTATGGACATGAAAAAGTCAACGTTAACTCAAGCGTTTGGACAAGTAAAAACAAATAATCCAACAGAATATCAGATGTCCCCTCCTACAGCCTTCTCTGAAGCTACCCCTCCTATGAGTGTATCCCTCCATCCACCTTTTATATTAAATTCAAAAAGGCAAGCCAAGGCGAATTCCTCAAGACGCATTGAAAACATTTGTTTATCAAATATTTACACTAATAATGGCCAAAGAAATGAAGACAACAGCACTGAAAGCAACAGTGTAAAGCAAGCTTGCCCCCCACACCTGATTGCTAATCCTTCAAAGCTGTCAGTTCTTCGAAGTAACCCTCAAGAGGAACTCCAGTTGGAAACTTTGAAAGCATTTAACCCTGACAAGATGTTAAACCCTGTTTTCATTGAAGACCCCAAAGTACTTCCAAACAATGATTTCCCTCTTTCTTATGCTGAAACACTCCATCAACCGAATAGATTCGTTAGATATTCGACTAGTAATAGCATTTGTGGCTCACCCGTGAGCAGCCCTCTCAAATCTCCTAAAACGCCTAAGACATTATATCAAAAATCAGCTAGTATTGATGGCAGTGACCTCTCTAAAAAACGCATCTCTCCCCCTACAAGGAAAATTTCTTTCAGAAATAAGAGGATGGGGGAGGACAACATAGAAGCCCATGTATCAAACAGACTTGGGAATATTTATTCAAATAAGGGAGATAAGAGGTCTTTGTTCAGCTCATCCTGCTCTTCCTTAAACATGTCGTCCAAAGAAATGGCTGAGGAAAAAAATAAACAAATTAAAAAGTACCACGTGCATTTAATTCAAGCTCCTAACTGCCCATCAGGGAGTACTGATATAATTGGCAGCAAGCGGAAAAAAAAGAGATGAGATGCTTGGTCTAGAGAAAGCCATTTTTCTTTCTCCTGAAAAGGAGGAAGCAGAAAATCCTTTAAAGCAATATAAAACTACCAGCACATTGACAGTAAGCATAGATGAAGATAATGTAAAATACCATGAACTGATTTCGGTTTATTATACTTTACCACAGAAACATTCAAAAACTTTGTGCGATGTCTTCCTAGGAGATACCAAAAAGGCAGATTCATCCTCATCCCTGGAAAAATCTGAGAGCCCTCAAAAGCAGTATGAAGTTCGTGTCGGTATGACAACTGTAGCTTTTCCATCCAGCTTAGAAAAAGGAGAGAAACTTATTTCCCCTAGCAAAATGCCTGCTCCTGATGATATACAACAGGATTCAAAAAATACAAGCAATCCTGTTAGAGATCTCCAAGTTTCACATCCCACTGTAGGAACAGCAGATATTTCTCAAGCACATTGTTCAATGAATAATAAAAAAGAAATAGTTGTATCAGGAACAGAAGAGCTGGGGCTTGCAATTTCCAATAGGCTACCTGTGGATGGATCCAAACCCAGCAGAAAAGAGATTGAAACAGTTAACACCAATATTTTGTCCAACCTGCATGTTGGCAGGCACTCTTCTCCATGGACAGGGACACTAAAACTTAATAAAAGCTTACATCTTAATTCATTGAATTCCAAAAATATCTCTTTGGGGAACATTTCTGCAGTTTCTTCTGCAATAAATGGCCAAAAAGGAAGTCCTGGCTGTAGTCAGCCATTTGCTGAAGCATCAGCAAGCATTCCTCCTTCCAATTTAATTGACGGAAAGCCCACTGTGTATCCAGAAGTCGGCACCCGAGTAAATGTCACTAAAGAAAAAATTAGAAATGCTGCAGAGATCAAAGAAAGGGCTCGTTATATATGTCGCATTATTTCTGAAAGGGGACATCAGTTTCCACCGAGAAATGAAGGTGTCCGAAATGAAACGTCCATTTCAACAACCAAGATGCATTCAGATTCCCAGAATTTTACAGTGCCAAGGGATGCTGCTTTTTCAGCTAATGCAGTTGTTCATCCCAAAGGGAATGCAGTAGAATGTTCAAAGCCTCAACAGCAAGAGATGCCTCAAAATCCTGCCCTCCACAAAGTTGGCACAAATTTACAGAGATCTGAAAGAGTCTGTGTGGACAATGAGAACCTTAGCTCTAAAGATCAGCATTCAGGTCCTACACAGGACTTGCCTGAGCATTTACTACCTGAAAGTAAGCTTGCCCTGGATGGCCTTAAAAATAAAGTTAATGACATAGAAAAAAGGAAAAATAGGTCTTCAGTTAAAAACAAACTGGCAGCCATGTGCAGAACAAGTAGAAAGTTTTCTAATAAGAAAAACTCAAGTCCCAAACCACACGTAAATTGCATATTTTCACAAAACGATGCAGTCCCATTAGAGAAGAGCAGTCACCATCCACTGTTGATTTCACCCGATGATTCCCAGCAAACAGGGAATGAGAATCAGAATCAGGTTTCTCTACCTGGTGAATTTGATATTCCAAGACTGAATAAAGTGGAAACTAAGAAATTGCAAGCTAATGAAGATAGGAGGCCTTTGACAAACTTGTGCAACCAGAAAAGAGAACATTCTGGGCAAAGCGATAAAAATATAAAGACCATCCAAAATTCTAGCATCTTATTTTCAAAATCAATTATGCCTGTGCTAAACAACAATTTACAGACAGGTAGCAAAGTTTTAGAAAATAACAACCATCCCATTTTCTCCAAATGTGCAGGAATGGATGCTTACCCCCAAAAAAGAGGTCACTGTAAAGTTGGTGAGCTTTCATCTTTTCCACGTTTATCTGATAAACATGCATACATTAAAAATAACTCAAAGGCAAATATTTGTCCACTGCAAAAATTGACTTCTCAAACAGAATGTGATGATTATCAAGATAATGAGCAATCAGGCATCTTTAAAAATATAAATCAATCCTGTGCCAAGCCAGTTCTAAATCTCGGCAAAACCCAGCGTGAACGACATTTTTCTGAAAGTTCCTATACTCAAAAACTCCATGATTATTTGCCCCCAAAAAACAACCTGACACAGCCCGGATATAATCGGAAGTTTAAGTCCTATTCTGAATTGTTGTCCTGTGATGAAAATGAGAACTGGGACTCGTACAATGAGAATAGTAGGAACTTTGGCTCGCGACGTATCATGTACCCCTCAATTGAATTTGGTATTTTTGGGAAAGAACAACAGCAGGCTTTCTTAGATAACATAAAGAGGTCACTCACAGAAGGACGGTTGTGGAATCCATGTCTTTTAAAGAACTCCAGGTCTATCAAAAGGGAAGATGGGTACTCCTTTCATGGGTTGGAGCTGTTGAAATCGAGTGCTACAGAAGAACAGTTCCCAAATGAACCTTTTGATTTCCACGAAGAAGCCTCTGCATATTCTTCAGATTCTGACTCTGACACCACCACAGATGATGAATATTATCTGCATGAGTATGAGAAAGAATCAGAACTATGAGGAACTCAACAGATGTAGAAAGCAACTACCTACTACTAGCTGACTTGTTGGTTGATAGTTTATAAAAGAGTAGGGACTGGAAACCTGACTAGCTTTCTGTAAATGCACTAATTTGAATTCAGATACTAAATGGACATATTGCACTGATCTAGTCTTCCACAATTCTGGCTTTTCTTAAATATGTGGACTCCTGGAGTTCTAAGAAATATTCAAGGAATTAAGGTCCACATATCTGGGGAATGCTCAGATTTTAAAAACTCCATGGAGATGTAATATATTTGGTTTTAGGGTAGGGTGCTGTATGAACTCAGTCACGGTGGCTTATTAAACTGTGGCGTGCTTTATTGTATGTTGCTTAAACTCAACCAACTGTGGTTTATTCAATAAACCATGGTGAAGCAAGCCGTAACTTAAGAGTTATGTGAACCTAGCCAGTATAGTGATCAGCTCAAAAATCAGAATTTGTTTTAAATGGTAAAATTGCCCTACATTTGAATCTCCAATGGCACTGAAAAGAATAAAGGAATTGTCCTACTGGTTCTCAAATGGGCGTGCCTGCTTTTTCAGAGCAGAGTCTCTTGTACCAGTCAACTTTGGCACATAATCATAACACAGCTGCTTTCATCAGCAATTGAATGTTTGCATTCAACACATTGATGGCCTTTCTGTATTTCAACAAATCTAAAACGTCTTAAGTTTTAATGGAGAAAGGGAAGATTCAGAATATATGTATATTTAGGTGAAAAAAGGAAGATTCAGAATGTGTGTATATTTAATATCCTAAAGGAGAAATGTATTCCTTTCATTAGAAAATGTGTGTTTTATTAAAACCCCATTAAAATGAAAGCAGCTGCTTCAATGAGGTACAGTAGCTATCCTTAAGCTTCAAATCATGCTGAAGCTATTGCAAGAGACTCTCTCATTCAAAACAGTGAAATTTTAAAATGCTACATGTTCACTGATTTCCACTTTAGTTTTTTTTTTAAATAAGTCTATTAACATGATGTACAAAATTGGTTATTCTGAAATGCTGAATACTTTGTTAAAGAACTATGTATGAACTGAATGTACAGTATACTTTTAAATATTTGTTTAGTATGGCAGTTACACTTGAAAGTACTTCTAAAGTACGTAGTTCATGTAAATGAAACCATTCTAGTAAGATTCTAATTAATGGTTTGTTCATGTAAAAATACGTTCCTGAAATGTGAATTATTTTGGAAAAAAACCCTGTGCATTAATTGTGCATATGGCCTAATTAAGCTGTATAGCTTTTTGTATTGGAAAAAGACTTTGGACCTTGTAAAAGTTTGTTGAAGCTTTTTTTTTTACTGAAAATACTTCTATGTGAAGCTCAGAGAGCAGTCAAAAAGTCATGCATAGGACATATGTTTACACACATACAAAACTGTTCTTTAGTATTTTCTTTCTGTGCTTTGCCGTTATGACTTTTGTTCTCTTATACATTATAAATATGTTGTTTGTTTTGAGATCAATTTTCAGGCCATATTTTCTTCGAGTGAGTTTCTGTTCTTTGTATCCAGGCGTTTTTACAGTATGCTACCTGTACAAACAAAACTGTAATTCCATTGTAGAACAAAAATCCTTCAATGCAACCTGATCTCATTAATGCAAACAACTGTTGGTATTTGCTTGCATGGGCAGGTAAAACCCCCGTTACAGAGTAAGTCAAGTTTAGACGGGGAAGGTCAATCTTTGGCAACTGAACCACCCATTCCAAAGTCCAGCTAGCTAGAGCAGTGTTACAGAGCTGAAACTGAGGAGCAGATGGGAACAGAAATATGCTAACTCCAGGACTGGTGTATTTTCTCGTTTCTTGTTTGGAGAATAGGAATCCAGATAATTCCAAACCTTCTGATTTGCCTTCAAAAATAAATGAATTTCATGGGGTTTTCAAACAATTTTGGACTATAAGAGTGATTTGATTGGTGGCATTTTCCAAACCATCTCTCCATTGCTTACTAGAAAAGCTATTTCAGAGTGAATGGCAGTAGATAAGTCCAAAGTATGAAAAAGTCCCACTCTGTTATCAGCACGGTATAAGAAGCTCCTTCTACAGTTTAATAGAACTTTCTTTGTAAAACAAGGCAACAGACAGCAGTCCTGTATTGCCACTATATTGATAGTAGGCATTCGATTATAGTTTAGCAGTTTGTCCCCAGAAATTCTGTGTTTTTCTGTCTTATGTTGACCACCTGTGTTGTGTTTTATGCAAGCCTTCCCCGTCCCTGTATCTTCAAATGTATTGGGACTACAAGTCCCAGAATTCCTTGCCAGCATATTGCTGTGCAAGCACATTTAGATGTAACTAGGGGAAACTATTTTTTTTTTCCATTTGAAATAAGCTATTAATATTGACTACCAATATTTTTAAATAAATGAACTATATTTATGACTGACTCACAAAGTGGTTTTCTTGTTTGTGTTCTGCTTTCATTCTGAATGCTTAATAAATGCTTAATTTTCAGGGCAGACATGCCTGAATGACCTGTTTACAGTTGTGACATCAAAGATGGATTCAAGTGTTTCGGGTCAATTATTTTGTTATTACAAGATGTCATCTTCTCTTGGTTTTATGTAATATTTCTAATATGTAAGAAAGGTAAGTGTAGTACATGTAAACAAAAAACAAAAGTGCAGATAATTATCCCTACAGCACTTTAACTGGAATATACTTGGATAACATCAGTGGTGGGATTCAGCCGGTTCGTACCACTTCGGGAGAACCAGTTGTTAACTTTCTGAGCAGTTTGGCAAACTGGTTGTTGGAAGAAACCATTAGGGCAGAGAACCGGTTGTTAAATTACTTGAATCCCACCACTGGATAACATAGTACAAATCTCTAGCAAACTCTAAGCAGTAAACAATACATTAGATCAGTACCGAAAGTTCTAAACCAAATTAAGTTGTAATTCGATAAAGGAGAATATTTGTAGCTCAAGGTTGAAATGAGGGTCCTTGATGCTTTCTGAGTTTGGTTGCTTTCTTGCAGAGCATTGATGATGTTACCTAGCTTGGGTAATGAAAGGTCTGCAAGAAAACCACCAGGTTCAGAGAGCACCAAGGACCCCCACATAGACAAATATTCTGGGCATTGAAATATGCTAAATAAACAATTTAGCCATTCTTTCAAAGAATGAAACTGCATGCTCAGCCCTTCACCCAGCTGGATGGAATATCATTCCAATGGAAGTGTTCATTTTCATCCTTTCCATAGGAGCAAGACCTCATTCTGGCTCAGTTGACACAGTTGTGCCTAGATGTTATGCTCAAAGACCGCACATAAATGCTGTAGGAAGTTAGCACCCACCCCTTTCCTAGAGGAATGAAATATTTTGGGAAATATTAAAAAGGCAGAATATTATGTTTCCCTGGATGAGAAATGGAGAAGCATGTTTTAAAGAGGAAGCAGCTCCCATCTTCCTGCCCCCACTCTTTGTCAATGGGCCAGAGGCGGAAACTCAATCTTTGTCAATGGACCATCATCTGCAACACAATAGGACCCATCTAGCAACAGAAACTCACCATATGGCACCTGGGAAGATTACATCAGCCAGCAAGGCTAGCTAAGACCCCCACCCCCTGGGAGTCTGACAACCAATCAGGATACTCTTTCTGGGCCCCAGGAAGTTCAAAGCCAGAGAGGGCATAAAACCCGGGGACTCGCTATGTCTCGCCCCTTTTCTGTTCAGGAACTCAAGCCATGTGATCCTGTCCACCATTAGACCATCTTTCCAAGCAGTCTCCATGTTTCCAGTGTTCTTTTCCCCACTTGGAGCTGAACCCAGAAGGATATTTCTTCTAACAATGCAAACACCCCTCTAGCCTATTTACAAGTTCCAGCAACATAATAAACAGTAGCTATGGAACTGCAGTATCCATTACAACTTATAAAGATAGCCCTTGGTTAACAATCAGTTGGTTAATGATAGTTCAAAGTTACATGGCCTTGGAAACGGTGCTTTCAGCCCGTAAAGCACTTCCAGCCATTTGTAAACCATGACCACTCTTGGCAACTGGCTGGCATTTGCGACTTTGCAGCATCCTGCAGTCAACCATGGGATGTGACTTTTTTGCCAATATCTGGCAAAGAAACGCCCATATTGGAAAATAGATTTGCTTAAGATCTGCATAATTCAGACTTACAACTGTGTGGTGAATCGCTTAACAACTACTGTAAAAATTTTTTAAAAATGAGGTTCAGTCACATGGGTGCCTCGACTTACGACTGCAACTAGTTACGATCAAATTTCTAGCCCCAATTGAGATTGTATGTCAAGAACAGCTTTCAAATATCTCCTCTGTAACAAAGGCTGTTGAGAGTATTTCAACTGTAGATCTATGCTGTTAAGTCCCATTTCTCTTACTGCAGTCCATAAGATCTGCCCATTCATTCCAGATACATTAACTGCTATTTTTCTGTATTGACAATGCAAAATATAACTTGCAGCAAACTTGTCTGTATTGAGTTTCGCTCAATACAACTTTCTGTTTGCAACTTTTTGAGAAGCAAAGTCATTGGGGAAGCCAGATTCACTTAACAACCTTGTTACTAACTTGACGACTGCAGTGATTCACTTAAGGACTGTGGCAAAACTCACTTTCCCTGTGGAAAAGGCAAAACTCACTTAACAGGTATCTTGCTTAACAACAGAAATTTTGTGCTCAATTGTGGAGGTGGTTGATCAAGTAGCAACAGATCGCACCTTCCTGCACTCCGCCCCCACCCTCCTCATGTGTCCTTAGATTTTAATGTTTGGTTTTATCTTGTTTATGTTTTAATGTATATACATAGCTACCTTTTTAGGACTGTAAGCCGCCCTGAGTTACCCTATGGTAAGATAGGCGGCCAATACATTTAATCAATCAATCTTCTTCTTGTTGTGCCATATCCGTCATCGGACGTTGGCAATTCTATTTTTGTCAACAGCCACATGAAAAAGTGCTGCTGAGTTTTGTCCAAACCAGTCCCTTAGGTTTTGAAGCCATGATGTACTGCCTCGACTTCATTTGCCTTCAATCTTTCCCCGGAGGATTAAGTGAAGGATGCCATATTTTTCTGGGTGTCGCATCACATGTCCAAAATTTTCTAACTTTTGCTTTTTAATGGCTTTGATAATTTCCCTTGGCTTTCCCAGGCAGCTTATCACCTCCTCATTTGTGATTTTGTAACCCAGTTTATACTGTATGTAACAGCTGTAAATCCACATTTCAAATGCTTCTCGTTTCTTCAAGTGGTTTTCGGTCAGAGACCAACTCTCTACTCCGTAGAGCAATCAATCAACAGCGCTCATCAATTGAAAGCTACCTGTACTATATTCTGCAGGCAATATAATATCAGGGTTTTTTTTATTTCTGCTCTTGCATGGAATCATTTCTTTTAAATTCGGTTGGAAAGGTAAGAACGAGCAAATTTAGAACTTCAGAATGTGAACATCCCAATAAGAAGTCAGAGCAGTAAAATAAATTGATGATAAAAACTGTAGAATGGCTCACGTACCTGCCCAAGGAAGGATAACCAGGTTTCTGGTGCCTTTCAGAAGATCATCGGGGTGACAACCACAACCAAGCTTTGTCGGGGATGATGCCTCACAGGACAGGCACTGCCATAGAGAAGGCACATCTCTGAGACCCCAGTAAGGTGACTTAAAAGGAACCCCCTTCTGCTCAGAGATGGGTTTCACTTACCTTTACCACCGGTTTGCCATGTGCGTGCATGCACGCTTTGTACACACGCTGTCCACACATGCGCCCAGCCTTCCGCGAATGCACTTTGCACATGCATGCGTTATCCGTGCATGCTCTCAGCCTCGAAAACGTGCCTAAATAGCACGACTTGGAGCCGGAACGGGTGGGCGGGCCCACCCGTGATAGCCGCTACCGGTTCTCCCGAACCAGTGCGAACTGACTCAATATCACCTCTGCTTCTGCTGAATCATAAAGGATGGGTAGACAGTTTCTCAAAGAACCAGATCTTATACCGGGGGTGTCAAACTGGATTTCTTCGAGGGCTAGATCAGCATTATAGTTCTCCTCCGCAGTCCAGCCTGGGTGGGAGGGGGAGACGGGACAGACACCTCCCACAGCACTTTGCCAGCCAAAACAGGGTGTGGGGGGACCGCTCGTGCCCTGTTTTGGCTGCCAGAGATACCGCAGGCTGGTCCTTTGCTATTTCCAGACTGGCCCCACAGGGCAGATTTAAGTACCAGATCCGGCCCGCAGGCCTTGAGTTTGACACCACTGCCTTATACCATAAAGGGTTTTATTAAGAACGAGCACCTTGAATTGCATCCGGAAGCCAGATAGCCACCAGTGCAGTCCACGGAGCAGTGATGTCACATGCCCATACTGTGACATCTCATTTACTGCCCATGCCATCACATTCTAGACCAGCTATGGTTTCCAAGTGATTTTTAAGGACAGTCCCATGTGTAGCACATTGAAATTATTGATCTGTAAGCTAATTAGAATAAGAGCAGCCATCTGAAGGGTCTCATAAGTCAATAAATTCTGCTTATTTATTTATAAATTTTACTTTACTGATCTATTCTGATTGGTCCTGCATTTCCCAAAACGGCAATAGACTGGCACCAGAATGAAGTAGCTCGTAGCTCTGCCAGTTACCTGTCAAACAAAGCTGTTTCTCCTCCTTCTCTTGTTCCATTGTCTTCTCTCTCTCTCCTGTTACTCCAGAAGTCGCCACTACATTGTAAATGTGTAGGTAAGAAGAAAATGGTTAAGTTTAAGAGGAAAAACTCTTTTAATTGTATATTTGTAATTGTAAATTAAAATTATACCAAACTTCTTGGTATTGGCTCTGCCGATGTTTTTGTATGCAATCCCTAGCATGTCATCCAACAGCTAAAGGTGACACCTACTTATTAATGGTTTATACATAATTAGACCTTTTGTGGAAACACTTAAACAAGAAAGACCATATTTTATACGTTAATGAAGCAACAAATGCTAATTTTGAATGCGTGGGAGGATATGTAGCTCCGTCCGGAAAACCATTTCCTTGTTTAATGATTTTTACAGCATGTCTATAAAAGGTATTAATTATAAAAAATATTATTTTGGAAAGAAGATAATTTAGGTGGAGGAGAAGGTTTTGCTAAACCTTGTACATGGTGAATTATCCAACAGTTCCAGAATATTCTGATATCTGAATATCATAGCTCACTACTTGTATTTCCTATGCTTTTAACTGGCTTTCTTTCTTTCTTTTTCTTCTATCATCCTAGAGCTTGAAGACTTTGAGTATATTTAATTGACAGAAGAGTCAGACCAAACTGATAACGGATGCAAAATTAATCTATGGGTTTTTTTGGTTGCAAGATGTGATGGTTATTGGCTTAACTGGCTTTAAATGGGAATTATGGATTATCTCTGACCATATTTATTAGACTTGAGGGCTAGCTAGTATTTCAGAGGTCAGCAGAATTCCTTCACATGATCACATGGAATTAAGTCAGTTTAAAACAATTCAGGAAATCACCTTGCATGCTGTCATGAATTTGTGGCACTTTTCACAAGGAATCACATGACTTCAGAGAGTTCATGAAGTGTCGTAAGACTCACCAGATCCCACCAATTTCTAAATGAAGTTCTGTGTGCACCCTTTGTTTTTCTGCATATTTACATCATCAGCCCGTCCAATGCCTCATTTTCAGAAGCAATATATTGTTGGATGTTAATTGGATCAAATAGTGTTCCTGTCCAATGTTATTTCTGCCCTCTTTCCCCTTTCAGAAGTGCACCATTTAAAATGACAAACCAATCTCCCAAACAGAAATAATCCAGATTCATGTCCCACAATTTCTAGATAGGAATGAATGGATGTTTTCTAACATAGTATCAAGCTGTATGGAAGGCTGAGATAGTGTTAAACACGAAAATGCTTCATTGCAATGTATACATAGCTCAGTCTCTTTACATTTTGAAGGGTAAAAACCTGGTTAATTGTTGAATAAAGAAAATCCTGTCAGAGTGCTCAACATGGGTGTGAATAGATTGTATTCTATTCTATCCTATTTGGAATTGTTTAGGACTGGAGAAGTCAGATTTGTGTAACACGAAGAGTCGTTGGTTTTTTGACAAGTTTTATTGGTTCCCCTCCCCCAATACACACCCACATATTTTTTAAAATAGAGTATTGACCATATCATATTATATATAATTCATCATATCCAAATATATTTTACTTAGTTACAGTTTCTGCCAAAGTGCACTTTTTCCATATTTGTTAATCAAATCTTAACATAAGCTGGCTGAAATGTATTCACTTCAGTTGCAAGCAATAAGGTTGGTGTTAGGTTGGTTGAAGAATTCAATTGTTATTGCTCTGTCTAGCTCATTTGCAAGAAATATTACCTTCTTCAGTATCCTGTTGAATTTGATTTGCCTCCAGACTGTTCCCATATTTTTGTATTCCAAATATTTGCACCACCAGACACAGGATGAAAATTAAATGGCATTAAAATCTACATACTCATTTTCACTGCAATGTGCATATAACTGCATAGACTTTCCATTCTTTGATTTCCATCCAATTTAAATTCTGGTTCCTAAGTCAGTGAGTGACACAAGAGGAATGTACAGTATATACAAAGGAGTCTTCTTATCTGAATTGAGTCCAGAAATTCTAGAGGAAACTCAACATCACTGCCTTGTGAGATCTTTTTAACTTCCCAATGTTGTTCATGTTTTGTTTTGTTTTGTTTTGTAAATGTGTTATAAAACCAAAAATGAACATGTTTTTAAAAAGTAGAAACATTCTTTGGAGTGGGATTTGGAAGGAAAGAAGGAAGGAAGGAAGGAAGGAAGGAAGGAAGGAAGGAAGGAAGGAAGGAAGGAAGGAAGGAAGGAGCGAGCATTTTTCTGGCTATATACAGCGCTTCAGATTAAATAGCCAAGGACATATGTGACAGAAAAACATATAGTTGGCCTTTTATACATATGCAGGTACTTTATGCTTCCATTTATTCATTTTATTGCTGGTATATATTGCTTATATTGCACTTTCCCTCCAAATGCTGAAGTCAAGAAGATCTCTCTTCATTTTATCTCCACAACAAGAATCATGCGAGGAAAGGTGTGCTAGGAAAGAATGGCCCAAAGTTTTCCACGGAAGCTTTCCACATCTGAAAAGGAGTTTGAACCCCAATTCTCACCCAAACCTTAACCATGATATCCCACTGGTTCCCCTTCTCCTTGAACAAATATCTTGAATGTCAGTGACTACAACCACAACACATGAAAGCTGAAGTCAGACCATGGATAGTAGCATATTTGATCAATGATTCACTGGTTGATTTTATGTTCATCTCCCTGATGTGAAATTCTATCTTAGTGTTGTGGGTTGGCCTGCTGAACATTGGAAGGTGAATGACACACCCGGTCCTCTATCTATCTTTTCATGGTGTGGCTCCACAGACAGAGCAGATATAGTGCTCTCAACTTACGATGTCATCCATTCAAGCCTTGAAACTTGGCGTGGTGTCACAAACTATTTATCTGTGCAGAAGAACGGAGGTAAAAGGGAAAGAGCTTTTTTTTTTTTTTTGGGAAGAGAAAATAGAATGCTTTAATTAGCAGGAGTTTAACAAATTTGTAAGAAAGATAACTCTGGCTACAAAATTTAAATATCCAAGGAAGAAATATTAGAATGTTTCAAAGGTGACTAGGGCTGTACTTAGAATTGGATGAGTTGCTGTAGGGGACAGAAACACCATTCAAGCATATGCAACTTGGATTTTCCATTTGTTCCCTAGTTTGGGGAAGGAATTGGATTATTTTTGAGTTTTTTTCCCCTGATTTGGCTATCTTGAGGCTCTTATTTCAGCTTTATGTGTTGCCGTTTCAAGTAGTAGGAAATGATTTGTGTATTACAAACTATTAGCCTTTTAATAGGCTAAGAAGACCTGATGGCAATAGTGGGTTGCCCCCGGTTTGGACCGGTTCGTAAGAACCGGTAGTAATACTGGTGGGAGGCTCCGCCCACCGATCCGGATGTGGTCAGGAAGCTTCTATGCATGTGCGCGGTCCCGTTGCGAACTGGTAGTAAAGGTAAGTGGAACCCACCCCTGCCTGATGGATCTGGGCTAGGATAGAAGCGAGCCTGGCAAATATAAGAGCATGAAGCGGCCAAGGGTATGTTGCAATATTGTGTTTGGTATATGTGGTGCTATCGTGGGGTTGTTTTTTATTTATTTATTTATTTAATACTATGGCAGCTGCTTAGTGTTATCTTGTGTAAGATAGATAGTCATGTCAGTTCCTAAAATAAGTAAAAATAAATAAATGTTTGCAGCACAATTGGAAGGGAATCGAGTACCTAAAAAGAAAAGACATTGAGTCACATATAACCTAAATCAGGGGCTCTGCACCCTGGTTTATTCAAAATAATAATGTGGCTCACATATGTATTCTACCTTTCATTCAAGAAATTCAAGGGAGAAGTGAAAGGAAGAGATTATTTTGATGCAGTTGGGAATCAAGTATTTGACATAATAGTGAAAAAAGTGTATTGTTAAATTGAATCCATTTTTTCTCATATTTGCTTGTACTCTTCGACAGGAATATAGGAGTCGCATTTTTGTTTTGCTGCTATATATCAAAGCCATCTTCTCTTGGGTCTTTACTCTTCATGGGTTGTATATTATCACTTCCCAGGTGAACCCTATCTTTTTTCTCAATTTGGTCTTACTCTTGTCCTTTCCACTTTTTGTTGTGTCTATCAAAGAAATCTGTTGTGGATCCCTTCTTCCTGTCCATATTTTTCGTCAAGCATGTACTTTATGACAGATACAAGTGTAAACATAATTATAAATACATGAAAAGGATACGAATAAAAGAAAACATTAGGACAGGGACGGTAGGCACGCTGGTGCGCTTATGCATGAAGAAGAAACACTTTTTCCACACAGATTATGTTTTGACTTCTTATCAGAAGGGACTCTCTTGGAGAAATCATCCCTGCATTCATATGTGTTATAATCCAAATTGGTAGTGTTGACTAATGGTCTGCTTTTGCCATCCGAGTGATCTTATTAACCATGATGTGCATTTAAAAGACAAGCCCTATTCCCAAGCCACCTCCTTTCCATCTCGCATAATTGGAAGACTTCCCTGAGTACATTAGGATTCGCTTCTTCTGGTTGTATTTCAACCACTGCTTCTGTAGATCCCCAATTTTGCAGACAGAAGGAATACACTGATCCAGATCAGTGGCATAAAGATAATTTGGAATATACTGTATGTGACTATGGCTCAAATAATCAAAATTCAATGAATGATTAAATCAAATGATTTTTTTTCCCACTGGGATTGTGCTGGATCCCAGAAAAAGATGCCGTTTCTTGAAGCAGTTGTCAACAGATGCTTTTATGTATGCTCTGAATCATCTTTTCCTGCTGAATCTGGATCACTGCACCACCCAAACATGTCATCTTTGGCTAGGGAGGCTACTTGCTATGATGTGAGAGAAAGCTTGCAAAATTCATTGGGCTTCTGGATGTTTCCTATGCATTTCTTTGAATTCCTGGGCAAAAAGTACCAGAAGTCCAAAAAAGAAATATCTGATAAAAATATGTAATTAATAATAATAATCACAATAGAGCTTGGTGATTTTCTAGCCCAATCCCCTGCTCAAGCAGGGGAATCCCCTGTACCTGTGATGGCGAACGTATGGCATGCGTGCCACAGGTGGCACACGGACCCATATCTGTGTGCACGCAAGCATTGCCTTAGCTCAGCTCCAGCGCGCATGTGCGCACCAGCCAGCTGATTTTTGGGCCTTCTGGGCCCACCAGAAGTCGGGAAATGGGCCATTTCCGTTCTCCGGAGGATCTCTGGGGGGTGGGGAAGGCCATTTTCACCCTCCCCAGGCTCCAAGAATGTGTCTGGAGCCTGGGGAGAGCGAAAAACGGGCCTACCGGGCCTTCCAGGCCCACTAGTAACCTTTTTGCCATTGTGTGTCAAAAGCGGAGGGGAGCGCAGGTGTGTGTGTGTCACGCACGCATGCACAGGGGGAACACTCAATTATGGGTGTGGGCACGCGTGCATGCAAACCCCCCATGCTCCCCCAGCTTTCGGCATGCAATGGCAAAAAGGTTAGCCATCACTGCCCTATACGATTTCAGACAGATGGGTGTCCAGTCCTTTCTTCAAAACATCCAGTGGAGAAGCACCTACTACTTCTGAAGGCAAGCTGTTACTGTTGTTATTGTGATCAAAATCCATAGAAGAGAATATTAGTAGCTCAGGGTTGAACTGTGGGGTCTTTGGTGCTCTCTGAGCTTGTTGTTTTCTTGCAGACGTTTCATTACCAAATTGGGTAACATCATCAATCCTAGTAGGATGGAGTGGGATTTGATGGTATGGTCAGAATATAGTTCAGAGTCTAAATACATTGACCCCCTTTTTTCTTCTTTTCCCACAGAATAAATACCACATGAGTTTAGATAGAACAGTGGCAACCTGTCGGTTCCCGTACCCGTTATTAGATGACAACTTTATATTTAAGAAGGATTCTCAATACTATGCGCACTTCTATAGGGATCTGGCATGATGGATCCATTATATGCCATGTAAAATAAACTAAGATGAGCCAAAGTAATCATCTTTGCAAGAAAGGAAGAGTGAAATAACATTGCCTGGCTGTAGACTATGTTGAAGGAATACGAATATCTTCTCCCATCTTTCCTGTGAGAAAAAGGACTTGGAAGATGAAACTCCAACTGAGCAGATGACAATTGCAATATATCAAAACAGGTAGTATGCAACTTAGTAACATGAATATGCGAAGAGATATTTATCTACACTTATTTCTAAATACTGCAGTTGAAAAAGGCCTGATCCAGATAAAAGACAACATGACTTTCCCACATTAGGAAATCACTAGGAAAATGACTTTTGAAAGACAGCACTGGAATCACAGAAGACAAAAGAGATTTCTAATGCTGCTGTTTTCTATCTTCTAAAACCTATTTCTCTTTTTCAGGGCTAAACTGTTCATAAACTGCGTTGTATGCCAATAGGGACTGGTTATATCAATGAAAAGACCATTACAAGTCATATTCTAAGTGACCAACATTATGTGAGAGAAGTTTTTTTTTTAAATTTGATTTATATGCCGCCCTTCTCCGGAGACTCAGGGCGGCTTACAATGCGTTAAGCAATAGCCTTCATACTTTTGTATATTTTATACAAAGTCAGCTTATTGCCCCCACACACTGGGTCCTCATTTCACCTACCTTAGAAAGGATGGAAGGCTGAGTCAACCTTGAGCCTTGGAGAGATTCGAACCAGCAGAAATTGCAGGCAGCTGTGTTAATAACAGGGTGCGTAGACCACTGTACTATCAAGGCTCTTTATAGTACCTGTTTCCATGCTAGCTTTCCCACATTATGAAATTCCTTTCCTTAATTGTTTTAGAGTGCAACTGACTATTGTTCTGGAGCAAGTCTTATTGAAAAGTTGGTTGCACAGATAAATATGAAAAGTACTGGAGCTAACATTGCAACATGACATAGGACCTGGAGATCTCCAATTGTCTCTAGGCACCTGGTATGTTCTGGCACATCAAGTGCGTTCCAGGTCCTTTCTACAGGTAAACAACTATTCATTTAACAAATGAATTCTCAATCATCCAGGTCTCGGTTGTCCCAAAGGTGCTTTTCCAAAAAGGCAAAGCACTTTGGGGTTTTTTTCTCTGAAAACATTCTACTGGTGCATTTAGTCCGCTGCCTTGGTGGTGCAGCAGACTAAAGTGCTGTTAAGTAGCACTTAGCTGCCAGCTGCCTGCAATTACTGCGAGTTCAAATCTCACCAGGCTCAAGGTTGACTCACCTTCCATCCTTCCGAGGTAAGTAAAATGAGGACCCGGATTGTGGGGGTAATAAGCCGCTCTGAGTCTCCGGAGAAGGGCGGCATATAAATCGAACCAATAAATAAATAAATAAATAAATAAATAAATAAATAAATAAATAAATAAATAAATAAATAAATAAATAAATACTTCTCCATCCAAAAAGAAAACTGAAGAAGCTTCTTGGATTTCAAACAAAACATTTTCAAACAAAAGAACCAAAAAAGCCCAGTTGCCTTTTGGGAAAGGCACCCTTGGGTCATTCATTTGGCAACTCTTCAGATGGCACTGAAAAAAGTGACTTATGACCAATCTTCACATTTACAACAGTTGCAATATTCCCATGGTCACATGATCAAAATTCAGGGGCTTGGCAACTGTGGACTCCTGGGGTCATTATCTCCATTTGTGACTTTGCAAGTGGTTTCCAACAAGCAAGCCAATGGATTCACTTAACAACTGTGTGATTGACTTAACAACTGGAATGATTCACTTAATAACTGTGGCAAAAAGGTAATAAAATCAGATGTGATTCATCTTGCTTAGTAATGGAATTTCTGATCCCAATTGTAGTCATAAATTGAGGACTACCTGTAGTAAACATTGTCATCTTACAGGATGGAGCACAGTGGCTCACCTGCTTTCTTTCACTGACCATTTAAACTTAAAACAGTGCTGAAAAGTGGACTAACAACCAGTCATTGAACTTACGACCATCACAGCCACATGAGAAAAATTCAGTGAGTACTGTGTGTGCACAAAAAATGGATTACTTCAGTAAACCAAGTTAAGCTTTGTAGCTTAAGTTAAGCTTGGTTTACCGAATGGATGGAAATTAATGGATGGAAACTAATCACGGAGAGAAGCAACCTGGAACTAAGGAGGAATTTCCTAACAGTGAGAACAATTAACCAGTGGAACAGCTTGCCTTCAGAAGTTGTGGGTGCTCCATCACTGGAGGATTTTAAGAAAAGACTGGCAAGGCACTTGTCTGGAATGATATAGGGCAGTGATGGCTAACCTTTTTGCCGTCGTGTGCCAAAAGTGGGGGGAGCGTGGTGGGGTCACAAACACGCATAGCCACATCCATAATTCTATGCGCCCTGCCCCCCCATCCCCCCGTACTCTCCTCGCTTTTGGCACGTGATGGCCTGGTGGGCCTGGTAGGCCCGTTTTTTGCTCTCCTCAGGCTCCAGAGCCTTTCTAGGAGCCTGGGGAGCGCAAAAACGGCCTCCCCCCCCCCAGAGGCCCTCTGGAGGCCAGAAACAGTGTGTTTCCTGACTTCTGGTGGGCCCAGAAGGCCTGAAAATCAACTGGCCGGTGCACGCATGCATGCCAGAGCTGAGCTGCGTGCCCACCGATATGGCTCCACGTGCCACCTGTGGCACCTGTGCCACAGGTTCACCATCATGGATATAGGGTCTCATGCTTGTGCAATGGGTTGGACTAGACCACCTATAAAGTCCCTTCCAACTCTGTTATTCTGTTAAGCTATTTATTCTAATCCAACCTGTCACTTGATTCTTGGTTAGCTCCCACCTTGTATTGATGAGCAGGTACGGAGCTACAGTCCTTTTCTGTATTTTCCTTCCCACATTCTGTTGAGTTGCAAATAATGAAAATGCCTAAGAAACATGAGCATGAATTTCCAACAGTTTTTTAATCCCAGAGCATGACAACTCTAATTTAATCAGAAGGAAGTCCCTTAATGAAGTTTGCTCTCATAAGATCTGTTTTGGTGATACCACTGGTTTACTATATATATAAAAAAGTAAAAAAATGGAAAAGTCAAGAATTGTAAAGAATAATGGTTAAAGAGAAGATTCCGATAAGAAAAGGGAAGAAAACTCTGTTTTAATAACATGCTGTACAGTTCCTTTCAAGCCAGATTTACTTATTTCAGAAATATGCTCAACACCAAGCCAGAAAACCTGAAATACCAGAATTTGTACCTCAGCTTGATGATAGGCCTGCAATTGCCACAATAAAACGCCTTCTAGGGAAGAAATTTCAGTAAATGGTGCCAAAGCGTGTGATGCAACAGTGATGCAAGGTTTTTAATGACATTTAAAGCTCTAAAATCTAGCACAGGTAAATATTTACAAAACAATGTTACACTCAGTTTAATGCGGTTTAATGTGCTTCACTTAACAACCGAGTTGCCAGTTGCCAATTGTGATTGCTAAACAAGGACTACCTATAGGGAGATATTATATCTCCTGAAGGATGTGTGTATTTATGCTAACATGGAGGTGGAAGTCATGTTCACAAATTCGTTGTGTGTCCAATCACACTTGGCCAATAAAGAATTCTATTCTATTCTATTCTATTCTATTCTATTCTATTCTATTCTATTCTATTCTATTCTATTCTATTCTATTCTATTCTATTCTACCCTACCCTACCCTACCCTACCCTACCCTACCCTACCCTACCCTACCCTACCCTACCCTATTCTATTCTATTCTATTCTATTCTATTCTATTCTATTCTATTCTATTCTATTCTATTCTATTCTATTCTATTCTATTCTTACAAGTGTTCAAAGTAGTCCATGTTGCAATCCTTGTCCCCCAACCCCCAATCCACTGGTCCATAGCCTGTTGGGAACCAGGCAGCGCAAACAGTGGACGAGCGCGTGAAGCTTTATTTGCACATGCGCAGAATTAGGTTGCATGCATAAAACCATCCCCCCCCCACTTCCCTGCCGCTGCTACCTGTCTATTGACCCAAAAAGGGCTGCTGATTTAAACCAGTAATTCCAAACTTTGAGTCCTCAGATGGTGGATTACAATCAGTCCCCATCAGTCCTGCTCAACACAAGTAGGAGACAATGGGAATTGTAATGCCTGTAAACAGGGGTGGGCTTCAACATTTTTAGCAAGGGGTTGTCTGCCCAATTGTTGGGTGGGTGTGGCCATGGTGGGTGTGCCTCCAGTAGTCAGTTTCCTGAACCACGGGGGGGGGGGCATTTTTGCCCTCCTGGGAATGGGCCGCGTGGGGACTCCTGGGAGGGGCAGGGCGGGCAGGGCCAGCCAGGAGTGGGATTTGGGGATTCTCCAAACTGCACAGAATCTTAGCTAGAGGTTTTCCTAAACCCCTGCAAACCCCCAGCAGCCTACCCCTGCCTGTAAACCAAGATTCTGAAGCTGATCTTGCTGCAATGTTAACTGAAAAAAACCTAGCCTTCCCAAATGGCTTGTAAAATGCTAAGGGAAGAATAAATGGGAGAGGTTCCTTTTTACACCACTTTTTAAAACAGAAGTCTTGGCTTGACTTTACATAGCTGCCTGCGTCAAGGCTATTGTTTTGATATTTATTTATTTTTTTTGTGAAGGACGTGCTGTTAAGTAGGCTAGCACTTCAAAGTGAGTTAAAGGCAACATTCCAGGTTAAGCATTTATTCTAAAAGAGCTACATGACTATAAGGATTCTGTAGAGCTCTTTAGCTGCTGTTTAGCGTCTTAGGACGAAGCTTGAAGGATTTTAGCTCTTAATATAGAGAGCCAAATATAGAGATTATTTTTAAAGGCACTAGAGTAAAAATAAAGATCCTTAGGGCTCAATCCTGTTTTTCAACCTTGGCAGCTTGAAGATGTATGGATGGACTTCAACTCCTGGAATTTTCAGAGTGGCTGGCTGGGGAATTGTAGGAATTGAAATTTTATTATTTATTATTTATTATTTATTTATTAATCAAATTTCTATACCGCCCTACTCCCGAAGGACTAAGGGCGGTGAACAGCCAAGATAAAATACAAATAATACAAATATTAAAAATCCCTTAAAATTATTAAATATTTTGGCCGAAACACAGATTAAAACACCCAATTTATAAAATCACGAATTAAAAATTTAAAAAGGAGAGTTAGGCCAGGCCAGCCTGCTGAAATAAAAAAGTTTTGAGAGCACGACGAAACGTGCGCAGGTCCGGGATCCTCCATATCTCTGGGGGGAGCTCGTTCCAGATGGTAGGTGCCTCCACAGAGAAGGCTCTCCCCCTGGGGGCCGCCAGTCGACACTGTTTGGCCGACGGCACCCTGAGAAGCCCCTCTCTATGGGAGCGTACTGGTCGGTGAGAGGCTATTGGTAGCAGAAGGCGGTCTTGTAAGTACCCTGGTCCGATGCCATGGAGCGCTCTAAAGGTGGTAACCAAAACCTTGAAGCGCACCCGGAAGACCACCGGGAGCCAGTGCAGCTTGTGCAGGAGGGGGGTCACATGGGAACGCCACGTCGCTCCCATAACCACCCGCGCGACCGCATTCTGGACCAGTTGGAGCCTCCGGGTGCTCCTCAAGGGGAGCCCCATGTAGAGAGAGAAATTCACATATCTACAGGTTGCCAAGGTTGAGAAAATAGGAAGAAGACAGTGGCAGCTGTATGGCTTTCTCCATATAGTCACCAGGAATCAAGACTAACCTGATGGTGCATGCACAAACACACACAAACACACACACACATGCTCCCAATGAGAAATAGATGGATGGAATATCCATTCCCTCTCTGAATTTCAAATCCAAATTAATCTTCTCTATTCTACTACCTTCCAGATATGCTGGGGCTGCAGCTCGGTGGAAAAGCCTGATTAGCATGTTTGGCAGGCCATGCAAATGAAAATTGCATTCTCTACAAATTGCCTAGCAGGCAGGTGAAATCACAGCTTCCTGAGTTAGTGTATCTGTCTGTGAGTCTCAGTGCTATGTATGCAAGTTGCATCTTGATTTCCAAACACAGAGACCTGCCCAAAAGTTGCCCAACAGGCTCTGTAAATTAGGTCACTCGCACTGGAGAGGAACATCTTTTGAAGTTGCTCGGTGACTAGACCTCTTTCCCATTAACAGGAAATGAAAGCTTGCATGAATCTGCCAACCTTTGAAGCTCGGTAATGGAAGTGAGCAACCACAGCAAGTTACATATTGGTTCAAAGGAGCTAGATAATTTCCGACCATCAAAAAAGATTTAGCAAGATGTAATCTGGTTGAAACTAAAAAGCAACTTCTGATTTATGAGAAAAGCTTTGTGGTCTATTGTTTTGCCATGTGCACCGGAAATAAACACGGGGAGCAATCAGTAAGACGGTAACTTGGTACTGATTTCTTTAAGAGTAACTTCTGTGAGCTCATTTGAGCTTACCTTCCAGATAGGTAAGTACAGAGTTACTTATCCATGCTTTTTAATAGTACAAATGGTGCTCAGTGGATACTTAGCTCAAATAAAAGAAGTTCCTGTTTGCTTCGAATGTTGGTCATTGAGCCAGATAGTATTGGTTCATTTCTGCCTCCTGGTCATTGTTTAATTTAATAACGCTTAAAACAAAAAGTGGCCATAGTAAAACAATAACAGGTTTCACGTAAATACATCAAACTTTTGATAACTCTCATAACTCTCATAATTAAGTCAGGGGGAGTGTCTTTTTAAAGTTGCCAAGGCTATTAAAATAGTAAATATTTTGACGAGCCCCAGTGACAACACAGCCCGACTTAATTAAATTTAACCTGGCAAGCTTAAGTGCCTCTTTGCTAGACTACATGAGCATTATTTGGCTGCAGGTCTCATTAATTGATTTGGTGGGAGAAGGCAAGTCAAAATCTTCTCCACTAAAATAATTATTTTGAATCACGTTACATACAGGTAATCCTTGATTTACAACTCGTTGCTTGTTCAACTTGCAATTGTTCTAAATTCTGATTAACTTACCAGGTGCGGGGGGGTACAGATCAGGGGTGAAATGATCCCGGTTCGGACCGGATCACCCGATCCAATAGCGATGGTGGCGGGTGGTTCGGAGAACAGGTAGCAAAAATCCCTGCACCACCACCCCCGGCCCAGCTGAGTAGCGCGATCATCAGACGCTTTTTTTTTTTTTACTTTTAAAAGCATTTTTACAACCTCCTTGGCCGAAAAAATGCTTTTAAAAGTAAAAAAAAAAAGCCTCTGATGATCGTGCGGTTCAGCTGGGATTGTCAGAGGCTTTAAAAAGCATTTTTTCTACAACCTCCTCAGACAAGGAGGTTGTAAAAAAAAGCTTTTAAAAGAAAAAAAAGCCTCTGGCGATCAGGCAACTCAGCTGGGATCGTCAGACCCTTTTAAAAGCATTTTTTTACAACCTCTTCGAAGAGATTGTAGAAAAAAAGGGTTTAAAAGTTAAAAAAAAAATTGGCCACGCTCACCCAGTCACATTAACCCCACCACCACCAAGCCACGCCCACAGAACCGGTAGTAACAAATTTTACATTTCACCACTGGTACAGATCTGAGGTTCCAACAGTTGTCGTCCCCCAACATGTAGTCATGTCACTGCCCTTCAGCAACTCAGCAGCTGGGTTGCATTTATAGCCATTTTCAGTGCCCCATGGTCACATAACCACACTTTACAATGATTTCCTTCAGGTTTTTGGAAAAATTGGGCCCATAGTGAAATACCAGTTCGGTATTTATCTAACAACCATGGCAGCTGGGGTGCTCGCTTAACGGCTGCCACAAAAAAAGGTTTTTAAATTGGGGCAGTCACGTGACCAACTTGCTTTACGATTGGCATGAATATCAGTCATGATGGGCAGGCACCATTACGGTCGTAAGTCTAGGATTACCTGTACTTTCTTTTCACTGATGAAGACAGCATGAGTCTCCAGGAGCCAATTGTATTAACCAATAGGCTAGTACTGGTGGCGCAGTGGTTAGAGTGCAGTACTGCAGGCTACTTCTGCTGGCTACTGGCTGCCTGCAATTTGGCAGTTCAAATCTCACCAGGCTCAAGGTTGACTCCTTCCATTCTTCTGAGGTTAGTAAAAAGAGGACCCAAATTGTTAGGAGCAATATGCTGACTCTGTAAACCGTTTAGAGAGGGCTGTAAAGCACTATATAAGTCTAAGTGCTATTGCTATTGCTACTGGAGCATCAGAATAGACATCAGTTTAGTATTAAAGAAAGTTAACACTTTCAGATAATATTTTAAGTAACTATTACGTGTAATTTTAGAGTCTTCAGTTTTTAATTAACAGAATTATTGAATTATTATTTTTTTACATTCATTAAAACTGTCGCAAATATGTAGCTCTTTACAGCAATAAATAACAAATTGCCCTCTTCTCTTTTCTTGACTTATCCCTGCTCCTATCAAGACTACTGTATGTTGGGATTCAGGGAGCTTTTAAAGGCTGCCATTTGTCACAATTATTATGTCACTGGTTAGCTTTCCATGTAGTCTTTAGCTAGGCATCCCATGTTCAGCATGCAGGTGTAAGTACTCTACCTGTCCACGACAGGTGTTTGCAGGAATGTACACAAACGCAAATCCATGCCAGCAAAAAAAAAAAATCACCTTTATTAAAATTATTCACCGATTAATACTTTTTGAGGCAAGGTGGTTGGGAAAAAAAAGATGGTCAGACTGCAGTATCAGAGGGCTCCGGAGGAAACGGATTATCTGGATCCCTTCCATTTGGGATCTAGGAACGGCGTTATAGGAAGACAGCAAAAACTGCCAATAAGAAAAATAAACAGTAGCCTATGACTATCACGAAGTGTTGTATCTTATGATTCATGATGAATGTATTTATGATGACTATGATCATGATTTATCACATATCTTTTTATGTACACTGGGAGCTTATGCACGGGAGACAAATTCCTCATGTGTCCAATCACACTTGACCAATAAAGAGTTCTATTCTATTCTATTCTATTCTATTCTATTCTATTCTATTCTATTCTATTCTATTCTATTCTATTCTATATTTCTATTCTATTCAATACTATTCTATTCTATATTTCTATTTTATTCTATTCTATATTTCTATTCTATTCTGTTCAATACTATTCTATTCTATATTTCTATTTTATTCTATTCTATTCTATTCTATATTTCTATTCTATTCAATACTATTCTATTCTATATTTCCATTCTATTTTATTCTATTCAATACTATTCTATTCTATAGTTCTATTCTATTCTATTCTATTCTATTCTATTCTATTCTATTCTATTCTATTCTATTCTATTCTATTCCTATTCCTATTCCTATTCCTATTCTATATTTCTATTATTTCTATTATTTCTATTATTTCTATTATTTCTATCCTTTCCACCAAATAGCTGATGAGCTGTTTTTGCAGGAGGAATACAAAATAGGCAAAACAGAGGGGGCTCCTGCAGTGCCGAGGGCATTGCATTGGCAGATTCTTTGCAGCGTCGGTCTCTGAGGCCAGCCGCGTTCCTTTCCCCGGCCGGCCGTCTGCGTCTCGCCGCCAGGTGGCTGCTGTGGCAACCGAAACGCCTTCAACGACCGGCCAAAGTTGCCTCCGCTGGAGATCGAAGGGCACCGCTGGGCTCTTCCACCTTAATCAGGCAGGCTTCGGGGTCGGAAGCAGGGAGCGGGACGGCCGAGGGGAGCAGGGTTGCAACCGGGGAGGATTAAAACAGTATTTCTCAACTTTAAGGTAATGTGGACTTCAACTCCCAGAATTCCTCAGCCAGCCGTGCTGGGTAGGGAATTCTGGGAGTTGAAGTCCACGCATTTTAGAAGCTGCCAGGTTTGGGAAACACTGGGTTAAAATGTCCATCAACTCACCTGCCAAACTCGCAATAGCTTTAGGCAGAGCTTAATCTGTTGCATTCGCAAATTTGGGGCGTGTTTTTGTTTGTTTGTTTGTTTGTTTGTTGTTTTCCTGGTGTGTATTATGCAACTCCATGACACTGAAGATGAAACAGAACTCTCAGTGTTTCAGGGTGACACCAGCAGCAAAGAAGATCCCACTTGGTTTTTCATTAGATTAGAAACCATTAGATTTCTAGTTTTCAGAAAATAAACCATACTCTGGTAGAGTTTAATACTGGGAGTTCTGAAATTAATCAGCGTCCAGCGTCCAGAGTTAGCTGCTTATTCTGGGCCTTGAAGAATTTTGAATTGAGGTTGACAGCAATGTACTTAATAGCAATGATTTAATAACAAAGGAATTAATGTATGTATGTAATCTGATTTTAGCCAATTTAGAAGGTTGAAAACCATCTTCAAAGAAGGTTGAAAACCATTTTATAAGACAGGGTACAGCTAATTGCAAGAATAATCTAATCTAGATATGTCTGGGACTCCATTTTATCTTTCTACATTATTTTCTAAATGATTAAACACTTAGAATTCCATCTAATATGCTCTGAAAATTTTTATTTGTTTCTGGTTTACTGCACACATTTCTTAAACTATAGCATACGTGGGAGATGTTGTGGGTTTGGGTCCAGACTACTGCAATAAAGCAAATATCACAATAAAGCAAATCACATAAATGTTTTGGCTTCCTGAGCACATAAACGTTACATTTACACTATACTGTATTCTCTTAAATGTACAATAGTATTAAGTCTAAAAAAAACCCAATATACGTATCTCAATTTAAAAATACTTTATTCCTAGAAAGTTCTAAAATCTGAATAGATTTTTAGGAATAAGATTTAGGAATCTTATTCCTAAAAAGCATTGTCTGAGCCTTCACAAGTTGTAATCTTTTTAAAAGCTCAATAAAACAAAGCACAATAAAACAAGTTATTGGTTAAGTACCAATTTATTGCCATAGTTATTTCAAAGTAAGAGCCACAGACTATATAAATGTGATAAAAAGAACTCTTACAGATTTCAGTGCAATTGCTGAAATCTGATAGTAACTACAAGGAACCTACAGATCAAGTTTTCTCTCTCGGGACCTCCTTCCCATTTAAAAAACTTATGGAGGAACCTCAAAGAGCTTTTCTTCGTATGGGTTATATTTATCAATATTTACCGTGTTAAAAATTAGAAGGGATGCATTTGCTGCTGCTACCACATCTCACAATTATTTGATGGAATTTTAATGCATTATTTTTCAACATAGGCTGGAAAATAATTTGGATTTCATAGACCTCTATGAGACTAGGACCTCTTGTAGGACCATACTTTAATAAATACTGCCACAGACTAAACAGTTTGCTGGGTCCTTGGTGCTCTCTGAACTTCGTTTTTGTTCTCTCTTTTTTTGGTAGATGTTTCAGTAGAGCACTGATGATGTTACCCAGTTTGGTAATGAAACATCTGTAAAAAAACAATCAAACTCAGAGAGCACCAAGCGCCTCTCTTCAACTCTGAGCTACAAATATTCTCTTCTGTCAGTATTATTTTTTATTTTATTTATTTATTGGTTCGATTTATATGCCGCCCTTCTCCGGAGACTCAGGGCGGCTTATAATGCGTTAGGCAATAGCCTTCATACTTTTGTATATACCTGCTTGGTAGGGCTTTCGCCCCCCCTCCCCAGCGGTGTTCTTTTTTATACAAAGTCATCTTATTGCCCCCACAATCCGGGTCCTCATTTTACCAACCTCGAAAGGATGGAAGGCTGAGTCAACCTTGAGCCTGGTGAGATTTGAACTTGCAGTAATGGCAGGCAGATGGTGCTATTTAACAGCACTTTAGTCTGCTGCGCCACCAAGGCTCTAAAGGGCCTTAATTAAAGGGTTTATATGATGTAGCCTTTCATTTTTTTTTTCTTTTCATCCCTTTTAGATGTGCTAATGATCTGCAGTGTTCATATACCTAAATGAGTGCAATTCAGCAATATACCAAAAAAAAAAAAAAAAAAACCCTTATCCCACTTCATGCTATAAAATACCAAACCATGGAAATTATCAGCATTTTTTTTTCCCCCTAAATCGTGAATTGCATAGTAATCTACAGTTTTGATTTTTTTTTCCCCCAGCACCAAACATAGTACTACAATGCAGGAAGGCTTCAGGAAAAAATATGGGTAAGACTGTAATTATCTCATAGCAGGAGTATGTATTTACATCTTTTAGCAGGGTGGGCAATCTTTTGGTGTTTACGCTGGAGAGATGCATGGTATAATTTTGAGGGTGCACTGTTTACATTGCTGGGTCCAAGTGGCACAAGTGAACAAAGCCAACAGTGTTTGGATTAAGGGAAGTTTTCTTTCTTGTCAGTTGTAATGGAGTTATTTTAAAACTATAATCTTTGCCCTTTTCCTGCTTCAGTGTCATGGGAAATTATACAGTTTTCACCAGTTGCAGTAATTGAACACTCAAAACACACAGCTTTTCTCCGTGGGCTGTCGAGACTCCTGAATGCAACTTAACATCACAACTATGTAGCATGATAGAGTCACAGGGCCGGCGCAATGTGCAACATGTTCATATTGGTGCAATATAATATAATGTAATGTTATGCACAAATATGTATAGAGGATTGTGTGTCTGTTAGTATCATTTACTGGATTAGGGATTTCCTTCTTTCACTGTGAGTTATTGAGATGTATTTGGGTTGGGGGGGGTGCACTAAGGGAGGCTTAGCCAATCTCATTGTACACATGTTGTGCATTGACAATAGAGGTTTGAATTGAATTGTTATTAGTTGCGAAGTCGGGTCCGACCCATTGTGACCCCATGGACAACATGCCTCCAGGCCTTCCTGTCCTCTACCATCCTCTGGAGTCCATTTAAGCTCACTCCGACTGCTTCAGTGACTCCATCCAGCCACCTCGTTCTCTGTTGTCCCCTTCTTCTTTTGCCCTCAATCTTTCCCAGCATTAGGCTCTTCTCCAGTGAGTCGTTTCTTCTCATTAGGTGGCCAAAGTAGAATTGAATTGAGAAGGCTTCAAAATAAGAGCTCTCACTTTCAGGCCGTAGACTCCAAGTTGCCTTAAACAGAGCTTTCTCTAGTGCACCCTTTCTCAACCTCAGCTATTTTACGATAGATAGACTTCAGCCCTCAAAGTTCACCAGCCAGCATGGGGAATCCTGGGAGTCGAAGTCCAGACATCTTAAAATTGCTGAGGTTGAGAAGCATTGTTCTAGTGGCTGAAGAGGTTTAGGACAGTAAGTTGAAAAGTGGTGGGTCTCAACTCTTCTCTTCTAAGAGTCCTCTAGGTTTTATGAGCCGCGGTGGCGCAGTGGTTAGAGTGCAGTACTGCAGATTACTTCTGCTGACTGCCAGCTGCCTGTTATTTGGCAGTTCAAATCTCACCAGGCTCAAGGTTGACTCAGCCTTCCATCCTTCCAAGGTCGGTAAAATGAGGACCCAAATTGTTGGGTGCAATGTGCTGACTCTGTAAACCGCTGAGAGAACTATAAAACACTGTAAAGCAGTATATAAGTCTAAGTGCTATTGCTATTGCTATATATATTGGCTCTGCTTCCTGCATGATTGCTAGTGCTTAGTTCTTGGTATAAAACTTTAAGTTGTCTCCATGGGTCTGTATTCAGAGTCCCCAATACTGAAGATTGATGCTTAAGCTGCTGGTTGTGATTTTATCACCAGGGAGGTCCTTATTTCATTTATCCAGATTTGGTTTTGGCCTATTTATATTTTCAATTTTAAAAGTCATTTGCACTTCTATATAAATTATATAATACCGAAACTCTTCTTCATGGCTGTGTAGTGTTGAAAAGGAGAATTTTAAAATATGAAAAGATAAATCCGATATTATAATGCAAATAATAATTTCATAATAGAGCATAAATGAGTATCATGGAAATTTTATTTTAAGAACTTCCGGAAAATATATTATAAGCCCAAAGAATCTGATAGAATTATTTGATGATGAGAAAGAAGAGAAAAGGGAGAAAGCAGCACACATCATTCAAAAAACCTGGAAAAAATGGCTGGTAAGTTAACAATACCTCAAACACACCGTCATCCCTCGTTCTAGAGCAGGGGTATCAAACTCAATTTCATTGAGGGACGCATCAGGGTTGTGTTTGACCTTGGGGGGGGCGGGGTGTATGTGGTCTGGATGGGCGTGGCTGTGGTGGGCATGGCCAGCTCGACATCACTCGTGTCGGGTGCCTGCTGTGGCCTGAGCACTCTGCCAATGAAAACAGGCTCCTGAGCTCTCTTTTTGGCTACCATGGCCTCCTGCAATCCTCTGCCAGTGAAAACGGAACTCGGGAGACGCTCCATGGGCCAGTCCTTCGCTGTTTCGAGGGTGGCCCCTTGGGCCAGACCTAAGTACCCCCCAGGCCAGATCCAGCCCCCGCGCCTTGAGTTTGATACTCCTGTTCTAGAGTAATATGCTTTTTGAGTAATATGCTTTTTCGAGTCTATTTATGTAAACGTCTACATATTTTGGATGGATTGGTACCTGTGGGTCCCACAATTGTTGCATTCTTAAGGGACAAGAAGTCATATTTCATCTACACACTTGTTCCTTTTTGTGGCTGAAGACTTGAAGCCGTAGACGATTGGGGGCACCTTATATCTAGTTTAAAAAAACTCTGTCCTTCCCATCACTCCAGGGATTCACACATCATAATCAACAATGATGCGAGTTGTAGTTCTTTGCTGACCGTGATATGTGAACCGAGCAGTTTTGGTTTGTGAGCTGTGGTTGATGGTTTAGGACAGGGGTGGGCAAATGTGGCTCTTTTACAACCTGTGGACTTCAACTCCCAGAATTCCTGAGACAGCCAAGCTGGCTCAGGAATTCTGGGAGTTGAAGTCCACAGGTTGTAAAAGAGCCACATCTGCCCACCCCTGGTTTAGGAGAACGTGTGAAGCCAGCCAATTATGATTTATTCAATAAATCATGGTTAATCAAGCTATGGCAACTGTGTACACTTTTTGCTGATTTGGCAACCAACAGTGAATTTAAAAAATAAAAAAAGAGCTCTATTTAATCTGGAGAATGTGGAGCCATGATGAATTAAATTATAGTCAGAAGCGGTCATTTATGACAGGGGTCCCCTACTCCCAGTTTGCGGCCCATTGGGAACCTGGCCATGCAAGCGACAGGCGAGCACGTGAAACTCAATTTGTGCATGATGCGGGATTAGGTTGCGCATGTGAAACCATGATCCAGTGGTGAGATTCAAAATGTTTTACTACCGGTTCTGTGGGCATGGCTTGGTGGGTGTGGCTTGGTGGGCGTGGCAGGAGAAGGATACTGTAAAATCTCCATTCCCACTCCACTCCAGGGGAAGGATACTATAAAATCCCCATTCCCTCCCCACTCTAGGGGAAGGTTTCTGCAAAATCCCCATTCTCTCCCCACTCCAGAGGAAGGATACTGTAAAATCTCCATTTCCTCCCCACTCCAGGGGAAAGATACTGTAAAATCTCCATTCCCTCCCCACTCCAGGGGAAGATTAATGCAAAATCCCCATTCCCTCCCGATCGGCTGGGACTCAGGAGGCAGAGAATAGATGGGGGCTGGGCCAGTCAGAGGTGGTATTTACCGGTTCTCCGAACTATTCAAAATTTCCGCTACCGGTTCTCCAGAACTGGTCAGAACCTGCTGAAACCCACCTCTGAAACCATACCCTTTCCTATGCTGCCGCCGTTGCCGCTGCCCATAACCGCGAAACCGTAAAGGTTGAGAACCGCTGATCTACAGTCTTGACTCTAGCTCCTGTTTAATTCTTCAGCTTCTTTTTGAACACATGAAGGGCTACCTGAGGGACTGCCTTTTTCCAACAGTCTCTACCCATCTAATTCCATCCAGCAGATTGCAGATCCCATCAGCCAGATAATGTCGGCTGGGGGGGGGGGGGGCACTAGAAGAAGGGCTTTTTCCACAATATCCCCTGCTCTGTGGAATAGTCCCCCCCTTGGAGATTAGAATGGCCCCCATCCCTGCTATCCTTTTGTAAGGCTTTAAAACTTGGCTGGGTACCTGAGCCTGTGGCTGTGAATGTGTTAAGGGCCCCATTTGTGGCTGCACTGTTAATTGGTTAATTACCTTGGCTGCTGTATACATGTATTTTTGAATATTTCTGTTATTTTAAATAGAATTATTTAAATATTAAATAATATTATTTTTATTGCCTTAATTGTTTTTAAAGTTTTGGAACTGTCAGCTGGCCGGAGTCACTGGTTGAGGTGAGAGGCTATAGAAATGTAATAAACAAGCAAGCAAATAAATAAATAAATCTCACCACCTCTGTGGACACCATAACATACAATCAGCACAATATGAATTAATAATTGTGTCAGGGGAAGCCTGGGAGAAATGTTCATGTGCACCAAGTGTCAGCAAATGTAATATTTCTATTTATAATTAGACGGCATTTATCTATTCCCTCCAGGATATGGGTGTATTTGAATACTATAAAGAGCTTATAGGCTTTAAGCAATATGGAGAACCTTGCCATCTTATGAAGTACATTGAGCCTAGAGAGGTAAGGGCTAAAACGAAGTGGTAAGCATTAAGCATTCACACTTTTATAATTGATCCAAGGTTCCATGACGTGTGTACATTAGCAGCAGGGTGCAACTTAATGTGGCTTAATATGGCATAATCAAAGTTTGTAGTGAATATTTAAAAGCGACTTTTCTTCTTCTTCTTCTTCTTCTTCTTCTTCTTCTTCTTCTTCTTCTTCTTTCTTCTTTCTTCTTCTTCTTCTTCTTCTTCTTCTTCTTTCTTCTTCTTCTTCTTCTTCTTCTTCTTCTTCTTCTTCTTCTTCTTCTTCTCCTTCTCCTCCTCCTCCTCCTCCTCCTCCTCCTCCTCCTCCTCCTCCTCCTTCCTAGTGTATTCCCGCAAGTGCAGAGTCTGCTTTTCATATCATTGAGCGTCACCTTGCATGGTCAGCTATATCTCCAGGGCGCAGGCCCGCAGCTTGCATATCTTTGTTGATGGTATCTTGCCATCTCTGTTTTGGACGTCCCCGAAGTCGCTGGCCATTGACTTCTAGTTGGTAGGCAGTCTTGGCCACGGTGGAAGGTTTTGTTCTCTGGACATGTTCATACCAGTGAAGCAGGGGTGGTATTCACTTACCTTCACTCCCAGTTCGCAAATGTGAGCGCAAGAGCCTTCCGCGCATACACAGAGGGTCAAAAATGTGATGACGTCCAGGCAGGTGGGCAGAACCTCCCGCTACCGGTTTGCCCGAACCGGATAAAACCGGCTGAATACCACCACTGCAGTGGAATCGGCCTTCTCTCATCTTCTCTATAATTGGTGCCACACCAAAATGTTGTCAAATGGCATCATTTAAAAGCTACATATCTATGTGCTAAACCCTATTTTTTCTCTTTTTCCTGCTAACTGCCATTTGTGGCAGGTGGTCTCAAATTTGCATATGCAAAGCAGAATTACTGCCAACGCTCACTTCATCTCAGCTTGGGCAAATGGATATTTGGCTTGCCAGGCAAAGGCTGGAGTGAACTCAGACAAGGCTCCAGTTTTGCGTGGAAAAGCACAACGAACGTGGCTTGCTCGGATCTGCTGATAGACCATTCTGCTTACCTGTATAAAGGTGGATTGATGACAGATTTCTCTTCTACCTTGTCAAAAGAAAGGGAAAAGGAGACCCTAAAGAAGGAATGGATAACTATGGCCCTTTTATGACCCCCTAGGCTTCAATTCCCAGAATTCCTGAGCCAGCTGGCTTAGCAACACTGGGAGTTGAAGACTTGAAGTCCACAGGTTGTAAAGAGGCCATAGTTGCCCATCTCTGTCCAAAAGGATGATAGTGTTCTGGCTTTTCATGTGGAAACCTGCCCAGTTGCACTCACAGCTGAGTTGCTGACAGAACTCTGTTCCTTTCTGCCCAGAGTAGCCAACAGCCAAATTGGGATTTTCTGTGATTGCAAATATTGATTCAGAATAAATATAGAATGACAAATGAAAATGGCTCTCTCAAAAATTAAACCTAGTTTTCAGGAATTACGTAAAATAAAGCAAAGTCATATTTCCTGTTTAAAAATGAGGTCTTAAGTCAATTGTTTTATTCTTTATTTCCATTAAAAAAAGGTTTTGTTTTATAAAGCTGTAATATTCTATCACTGTTTTTGATATATAGAGTAATGAAGTTTGTTAACTTTTTTTTTTAGTTTTTGCATGCTATCACATGTAAAATCTTGTTTGATTACAGGCAGAATTTTTAGATGCTGCAGCAGGAGTTCATATTAAATTCAGACTAGGTGGGGTAAGTTTACATTTAATAATTATATTTTAATAATAATAATTAAAACAAGTGTACAAATATGAGTGCCTATTCATATCTGTATGTTTGTGTGTCTTTGTGCACATGTGCAGGTATGCACATTAATATAATCACACAAAATGTAAATTTACAAAGAACACATTTTTTTTCATACTTTAAAAAGCATACTGGGAGTACTTGTAAATTTATGCCAGGACTTTATCACTTGTTAGTAGAGTGCAGAATCTAAATCTGTGTAAGCAAAAAGCCTGAAGGCAGATCCATCTTTAAAACAGACTTTCTTCTTTTTTTTACATGATGAGAAAAGCTTGATATTAGACTGTGTCTGTGTGTGCACATTCAAGTTACTGTTGACTCTTTGCAATGGACAAGTCTTTGAGGTTTCCTTGACAAGATTTCAGAAGTGGTTTGCTAGTTCCTTCTTCCTGGGTCTGAGAGCAGAGGTAGGCTCCTGGGAGTTCGGCAGGGTTTGGGTGATCCTCTAGCCAAGGATCGCCGGGGTTCGGTGAACCCTCAAATGCCACTTCTAGCTGGCCACGCCCACCACGCCCCTCCCCTCCCAAGAGTCTCTACGCGGCACGTTCATCATTCCAGGTAAATGCAGGGGCTGTGTGGAGGGTCTGGGAGGGCGAAAAACAGGCTTCCCGGAAGTTCTGGACATCCGGAAACAGGCCTGTTTCCGGCCTCCAGAGGGCCTCCGGACCCTGGGGGAAGCAGTTTTTGCCATCCCGAAGGCTCGAGGATAGCCATGGCCACGCCCACCCAGCAACGGTGCAGCAAACCCATTGCTAAAGAATCTGAAGCCCATCCCTGGCTGAGAGAGTGACCATCCCAAGGTCATCCAGTGGGCTTTGTGCCTAAGATGAGACTAGAACTCATGGACTCTTGGTTTCCTTAACCACTGCAACAAACTGGCTGTCACTATTAGTATTGAAATTGTGGTTTTTTTGAGCACCCAACTGCTTTGGCATTCATTGAAACAATATACATTCTTGCAATGTCTTAGTAAAGGGGCACATAGACTTGGTCATGAGCTATCATTACCATCTAGTTGAAGTGGTTGAGAAGTTCACGGGAAGGAAGGAAGCCATTTCATTCAAGTTCCAGCAGAGGTTCAATCAAATTCCTTGTGTGCAGACCAGGGGTGGGTTCTACTTCCCTTTACTACCGGTTCGCAACAGGGCCGCGCGCTTGCTCTTCTGCGCATGCGCTCTTCTGCGCACGTGCAGAAGCGTTTTCATGACGTCAGGGTCAGTGGGCGGGGCCTCCCGCCGGTTTTACTACCGGTTCTATAGAACCGGTGCGAACCAGGGGCAACCCACCAGTGGTGCAGACCTCCAAGAAAATGCCATTCGTTTTTATTGGCTACTATATTTTGGGGGTGGATTTTTATTTGGCTTTTATTATTTTAAGAATCGTTTCCATTTTATGATATGTGTTGCTGGGGTTGAATTGAAAGGATTTTTGAAAGTCAGAATACTTCTTTAAAAATACTGTACATACAGTTCAGGATTGCTTCACGCTTAACAAACATACTATATGCCTGTTTTGCCCTTTATGCAAATAATAGAACTTCCAAAATCATTTTACGATGATTTTTCTCAGGGCCCACAGAAGTGCATTTTAAGAAAAAATAATTCCAGTCTGCTTCTGATCTGTTTTAGAACCTTTTCGTTCTGATAATAAATAGACATTTACAGAGAATATTCCTTAGGATCTGTAAAAACAAATTGCAGCGACCCCAACATGTTTTCCATTTACCACTTTTTAAACTGGATATTTCCTTGCAGGAAAAGTTTCCTCCCAGCATATACTATAAAATATTTACTCATAGACCTATTGTGGATTTGTGCGCAAATAGTCCCAAAGACTACGCAAAGATTGCAACCAAACCAAATCCAAGGAAGTTGGAGAAAGGGAGCGTCAATGAAAGTACTGGTGACTGGTATAAACGCATCGAGAATAATGGATGGCGACTTCTTTCCATTAGAGTAAGACAATAAATATTTTAATTTCTCACTCGGTTCCTGTTATGATTGCCCTCCCCAAAAAAGATTGTTTGCATAGGTTGTGATGGGTGACTTCCTTCCACTTGACACATTTCAAAGAGTTGTGATGGCTGTGTTTGTTACTGTTAAAAGCATAGATAAAACCTACAAAATGATGTGGGGCTGCCTTCCAATCTCTTCAAAGAATGCTTCAGGAAGCTGGTATTTATTTCTATTATGTATTTTTTCCATTTTTGTGGAAGGTTATTGAACTTTTCATCTCTTTTCAAGAGATATGATATGGGGGTTGAGAGAATTTCTCAAGTAGAGATGATTTCCCACTTCTGCTCCAATTTGTATTGCAGATCACCAACTACCCAACAATTCACAAAGGGGAGACTATCTGTGATACGGCTCTGAGATCAGGAAATTTATCTTCCCTTTCAGCTATTCCATCAATCCCTGCTCCAGTTCTACTTCAGACACTGTAGAAATTGTTTGGCCTAATTCAACCAATTGCATCTCAATCCCTCCTGTCTATTCTTTTTTTCTGTTTCTGCCTTCTGATGTTTTGTCTCAACTCTTTTTTTCCTCACATGACTTCTGAAAGGTTACAGGTTAATGTCAGGCATTTTATTTTAAAAGCTGAGTTAGCTTTTAATTTACAAATCAGCCTATTGCTAGGTTAATCTTACTAAGTATACATCATTACAGGTTAATCTTACTAAGAATACAGCATTACAGGTAGACCTTGAGTTACAACTATCTGTTTAGTGACTGTTCGACGTTACAAGGTCACTGAAAAAAGTGAGTTATGACTATTTTTCACACAACTGTTGCCGCAAAACCACAGTCATGTGATCAAAATGCAGATACTTAGCAACTGGCATCTGTTTATGATGGTTGCAGTCCCAGGGTCACATGAGTTACCTTTTGCAACCTTCTGATAAGCAAAGTCAAGAGGAAATCCAGATTCACTTAACAACCATGTTATTAACTTAACAGCTGCAGTGTTTCACTTAACAACTTTGACAAGAAAGGTCAAAAAATGGGGCAAAACTCACTTAGCAATGGAAATTTTGGGCTCAGTTATGGCTGTAAATTGAGGACTACTTGTACCAAAAAGGCTGTATTATGCTACCAACTCAGAATGTAGGGGTATTTTTAGAAGATTTATATCAGAGAACCGTGATCTGAAACAGAAAGGTTCGTGTCATTTCCTACAATTTTGCTTCAGATGTTTCTGAAAGGAAATATAATTAGCTGTCATAGCCTTCTCCTTTTTCTTCTCTTCAATTGGGGCTGATTTCACATATTAAGTTAAATGTTAAATAAAATGCATCTCTATAGGGTAGCTGAATCCCAAAAGGGGATTCTAGTTTATAGGCAAATTTTGTCAACATTTCTAAAAATCCCAACCAACAAATTCCAATCAACCATAACATCTGGTTAAACCTTAGTATAAATGGCTCAGCGGTTAAAAGACACTGAGCTTGTCAGCTGGAAAGCTGACAGTCCGGGTTTGAGACCCAAGTACCTTGGAATGGGGTGAGCTCCTGTTACTCGCTCTAGCTCCTGCCCACCTAGCAGTTCGAAAGCGTGCCAATGCAAGTAGATAAATAGGTACCACTCAGTGGTGGTTCAGACCGGTTGCCCCCCGGTTCAGACCGGTTCTATAGAACCGCTAGTAAAACTGGCGGGAGGCTCCGCCCACCAACCCGATGTCATCAGAACGCTTCTGCGCATGCACAGATGAGTGGCCCCATTGCAAACCAGTAGTAAAGTTAAGTAGAACCCACCCCTGGTACCACTTTGATGGAAAGGTAACAGCGTTCCGTACACCTCGGCATCTAGTCATGCTGGCCACATGACCAGAGAAATGTCTTCGGACAATACTGGCTCGCTTGGCTAAGAAACAGATGAGCACTGCCCCCTAGAATCTGACACACCTGGAAAGGTGATACCTTTACCTTTAACATACTTCCTTTTATTTGTGTAATGCTCATTTCAACCAATGGAGTCACAGCAGTGTTAAGAGTTGCCAACGCAATAAGCGCAATGTAGAATGGAAGGGAGAATATCAATGTCAATTTAGCAACCTGCCTTTTTAACATAGCAAACTGTTCAAACCCAGCCATTGCCAAGCTCCAGATCATCTGTCTCTGCAAGCATCAATGAGTTGAGCCCTAAAAAAAACCTGGAGCATATTGGTAGAGAGAAGGGAGCTGGGGCAGAACAGCAGTTGTCTGAAAGGTATTTAGCCTTGACAAGCGATTTTAAAAATTCTGATACATGTGAAATGGTTTTCAACAATATATTTCAGTATTGGAAGGGTGTGGACTCTGTAACAACGAAAGACAATACCAAAATACAGGAATTCCATCATTCTCCTAAGCAGAGGAAACGGAACATGGCGAAAAGAAGAAAGGCAAGAAAAATCGAATGGCTGAGAAAAATGTGAGTTTACAGGGAACTTGACATTCCGAACACGAGAGTGGTCAATTTTCATTTTATTATCAGCTTAGTGGTTTTTAATTATCATTCATTCAGCCATATTATGCTAATATAATGGTAATCCATCATGATTAAACTAGAGTTATTCATCAGCTGGAAATAGCTTGCCATAAATCACAAGTTAACCATTTCTGCCAATTCTATTGGCTGCATTCATCTAGATTGGGGAGTGTAAAACCTTTCAGGCCAGGGAACCTGTTAATTTAAAAAAAAAAAATAACATATCTGTAATCCCTGATCAAAAGGCAAAGCTCTAGTGACAGAATATTGGTGTTAAAATGAATTGACTTCTCCCCCTCCCCCCCTTACCCTCATGGAAATCCATCAGGTTTTTGCAAAAGTTCAAAAAAACCTGTGATCTAAAAGATAGGGCAACAGAACTAAGGCAAATCATCCTTCCAAGTTAACCTTCCTCCACTTAATGCCAACCTGATAGGCTGAAGCCATTACTAATTCAAATTCAGTCAAACTAATAAAAGTTATATGAATAGTCCTCAACTTATGACCGGTCATTTAATGACTGTTTGAAGTTACAATCGCCTCCAAAAGGGGTATTTTACCCCCCTAAAGCCGTTGTAAAGCATCACGTTGCCCCCTCCTCCATTTCCATGGTTACATGATAGCATTCTGGGTGGTTGGAAAACTGTTCGCATTTATGGCTGGTTGCCAGGCACCCCATGATGACCAGGGGTGAAATCTAAAATTTGTTACTGCTGGTTCTGTGGGCGTGGCTTGGTGGTGGGGGGTAATGTGACTGGGTGGGCGTGGCCATTTTTTTTTAACCTTTTAAAACCATTTTTTCTACAACCTCTTCTGTGAAGAGGTTGTAAAAAAAATGCTTTCAAAAGGCTCTGACGATCCAAGCTGAGTTCCCTGATCGGCAGAGGCTTTTAAAAAGCCTCTGCCGATCAGGGAACTCAGCTGGGATCGTCAGAGCATTTAAAAGAAAAAAAGGGTTTTTTTCTTTTAAATGCCTTTGACAAGCCGCGTGATCATCAGAGGCTTTTTTTTTTTTACTTTTAAAAGCATTTTTTCGGCGGAAGTTGTAGAAAAAATGCTTTTAAAAGAAAAAAAAAAGCCTCTGATGATTGTGCGGCTCAGTTGGGCATGAGGAGGGTGGGGATTTTTGCTACCGGTTCTCCGAACCACCTGTCTCCATCGCTACCGGATCACGCGATCCGGTCTGAACTGGGAGCATTTCACCCCTGGTGATGACCCTTCGCAATCTTCTCAGCTGGCTTCCCCAGAAAGTCAGTAAGGGAAGCCAACAGGAAAGGTTACAAGTTGCTGCTGCCTGCTGAGAGGACTCTTTCTTGCCTCTGGGACCTGGCTGAAGTAGATGCCTACCAAGGGGAGTTTATTTTATTTATTACTTATTTTATTAGTCATATTTCTATGCCGCCCACTCTCCGAGGACTCTGGGCGGCTTACACCAAAGACAGTATACTAAATAGCATATTGCCCCCTAACAATCTGGGTTCTCATTTTACCCACCTTGGAAGGATGGAAGGCTGAGTCAACCTTGAGCCGGTGAGATTTGATCCGCTGATCTGCTGAACTAGCAGTCAGCTGAAGCAGCTGCAGTACTCACTCTAATCACTGCGCCACCTCGGCTCTTGTTGAACTCCTTTGGTGGGGTGGAGAAAAAGAGCACCAATCCTGAAGATGCCAGCTCTGTTTCTACAGCCTGTTAGAGCAGTTCCTTTCTGCAAACTAAGGGGAGCCAAATTTCTTTGGCGGGGATGCAGCCCACTGGAATAGTTTCTTTCCAGGGGAGTTGAATTCAGCAGGCAGTTCTTTTGCTCCATTTAACAACCTAGGAGATCACTTAATGACCACAACCAGGAATGCTGGGATTGCATCTTGCTTAACGATCTATTTTGTTCATCAACCAAGGTTTCAGTCCTGATTCTGTTCATAACTTGAGGACTGCCTGTAACCCTAACACATTGGAGGAGGTGTAAAATATTTAAACAACTGTATTTCCACAGTAACTAAGCCGACCATATATGATACGTTCTGAGATAACTTAAAAAGTTGTAAGTTAACATTTTTAAATGAGTTTTAATTTTTTTAAATTTAAAAAAAAACGGGAAAGACTATATTAGTCAAATATAGTGGCTCTCTAGATGTTTGTGTGTTTATTTATGTCCAAATAGAACAATAAAACAGGGCAGGTTTAAATCAGCATGGGGAGACTGCCTTCCATGCTATAGCATGGTCTTTCGTAAGAAGACTGCTTCTTGTACAACAGTGCCCTCCAGTGCTTTGGGGTGGATTCCTTTAGATACCTTGTTTGTCAGTCAACTGGCTAAATTAATTCTAATACACAAATAAACAGTTTGGGTGGAGTTGTTAAAATTGAAATTGCCTTCCTGAGAGCCTGAAGTCATTACATATTTTCATGTGTGTATTTTGTGAGTAGCTGTGGGTATTTCTAACTTAGAGCACCAGTTCTTCAGCACAACAGGTGAACAAGATGTTTTCCTAAGAGATGAGAGGCCAGGTGGCATCAAAACTCTGTGGCTTTTGAGATCCTATCTTGTCAGTTGCAGCTCCAGTTCTCAGGGATTATGAAGTTCAGTATCACCTGAAGATCACAGGTTTCTGTCTAATTTATATAGGAGCAGACAGAGAATGTACCAGACAAATATGATTCTCACAGTGAACAATGAACACAGTTTCTACCAAGATCTGGTGCAGAATCAGATTCAGTCAATAAACTTTGGTAGAGCAGAAACCAGAGAATGAGTTTTTGTTCCATTACATAGGGAATGCATTTACTGGAACATGCCACGGGCTTTTTTAATGGCAGAGGAAGTGGCAGTCCATCTGTCACAGTGTGCTTTGTGCAGTAGTTGTTCTTAAAAATCGTGCTTCCCTAGGCAACCGTTTGAATTCCTTGTTGAGAGATCAGTCCTGATCATTTATTATGCCGAGTTTTTTCAGAATCATTTTTTTAATTGAATGAGTCGCACAATATATCATGTTGTTGTTGTAGAGCAGGGGTGTCAAAGTCGATTTCATTGAGGGCTGCATCAGGGTTGTGTTTGACTTTGGGGGGCTGGGGGGGGGGGCATGGCCTGGATGTGTGTGGCCAGCTCGACATCACTCGTGCTGGGAGAGTCTGTGATGACCCAAGTGCTCTGCCAGTGAAAACAGAGCTTCGGAGTGCTGCCTGCGGCCCTTGCGAGCTCCGTTTTCAGCCGCAATGGCCTCCTGCAACCCACTGCCAGTGAAAATGGAGGTTGGGAGAGCCACACACAGCCCTCCCGAGCTCTGTTTTCACTGACAGAGGCACTGCGGACTGGTCCTTCACTGTTTCCAGGGCAGTCCCGCAGCCAGATCTAAGCACCCCGCGGGCCGGATCCAGCCCCCGGTCCTTGAGTTTGACACTTCTGTTGTAGAGAGTTTAAATGCTACGTGTGTCCTTCACTTTTCACCTTACATTGTACTGTCTAGGAATTGTATTGTATAAATGAATTAATTGCTAACAAATATGTATCAAAACAATCAATTTGCAAAAACTAAATTCCTCAATTCCACATTTCCATGTGTTGGAAAACTACACTTGCATGTTTTATTATTAACATGGTTTCAAAGAAATTAAAACTATATTGCCATCTGAATACATTGTACAGGTAGTGTTCAACTTTATTATTTAGCGATGGTTCAAAGTTACAACAACCCTGGAAAAAGTGACTTACAACGGGGACTTGCACTTACAACTCTCACAGCATCCCACAGTCACCTGGTCAAAATTTGGGTGTTTGCCAATTTGTATGTATTTATACAAATCGCATTGCAGTGTCCTAGGGGATCATGGGGTCGTCATTTGCGACTTTCCCAGATGGCTTCTGACAAGCAAGGTCAATCTCAAGCAGACTCATTTAACAATCATATTATTAACTTAACAACTGCGAGTTGTTGCAGTTAACAACCATGGGAAAAAAGGTTGTGAAATTGTGTGCAATTTACTTAACCATCGCCTTACTTAACAATAAAAATTCTGGTCTCGATTGTGGTTATAAGTCGAGGACTACCTGTACCTGTTAAGATTATCTTAACGCTAATTGGGACTGAAAATTTCGTTGTTAGGCAACACTGTCATAAATAGAAAAACCTTGTGTTTGTGCCACTTAGAAAACCTTGTGTTTGTGCCATTTAGTGCTTCCAGTTCGGTAGTCCTGGTTACCCTCATTTACCACATGGGTCATTAACTGAGGATCTTGCATTACCGCTACTTGTGATTTCCTGCTGTCTTCCCATTGATTTTACTTGGTAACTTTATGATGGGTGGAGCTCAATTCCCAGAATTCCACACACACATACACACACACACACACCCACACACACACACCCAGCAATGTTTAAAGTTGCCAAGTTTGTGAAACAGTGCTCTCCATGGTGTAGCAAAAGAAGTGTTAAATGTAGATATGATTTTCTTACCGAATGGTTGTGCAACTTGTAAGGTAGGTGTGTAGAGTCCACCTGTGCCTGGTCACTGTAAAAAGGTTATTGTTCCCTCTACAAAGGAAAGCACCAGAATTAATACAAAAACTCAAAGGGGATTAGTTTATTATGTGTCGGTGAAGGTATTTGGAAGAATTTTGATCAAAAGGATGTGAGGAATAACAATGGGCAAAATATGGCAAGTTTTATGTAGAGCAAGGGAAGTACAGAAGAGCTCTTTGGTAGGTTTTTGAAAACAATATGAATGTGACAAATTTATTGGATTTTTGTTGAGTTAAATAAAACATGAATATCCTTGTTTTGCACAAACGGGGATTCGAAAATTACTATCAAATGCAGTAAGAACAATATTTGAGGGAAGGAAAGCACATGTGAGAATAAACAGAAAGATTAGGAAATAGTTTCAATATTGAATAAGGAGTAAGGTAATATGTAATGTCCCCTTGATTATTTTATGTCTTTGCACTGCTTGAGATGATGTTAGAGATGTTTCATTTGGAAATGTGTATTTTTCTATGCAGATGAAGCTGTATTGTTGGCTAAAACCCAAATGATTTGCAACAAATTTTGGGTTGTATAATGTAGTAAATATGGATATGAAGGTTTACTGTAGTCAAGAGACTTGTGCTTTAAGGCAAAAATGGATTAAAATTATCCATAAATGGCAAAAGATTACTACAGAGGAGAAAGTGTAGAAATTTCAGGAAATGCTACTGGCAATATAAAAGAATTGGGTAGCACAATTTGTTGCAAGGAAACAGTATTTGTTGACAAACATGAAAATGACTATATGTCCCTTTGGGCAGATGGAAGTGAATGTTGGCTAGATCAAGGATGAATGGGTATATATACCGTAGACTAAATGTCGATATAAAAATGAATGACTAATATGAAAAATGTAATGAGGTTCAAATTATGAAATAAAACATGTAAAGAAAGAGCAAATAAGCAGAGGAAGACTTAGGTCACTGTTGGATGGAGTTTATGAAATTCCTTCCAAACAAGGAGGTGAAACTTAAAAGGCAGTGAAGTTGTGTAGGGATGCTGAACAACCAAGGATGGTTTGGGGAACAGAAATCTTTGGGGAAGTATAATGATTGTGTTGATGTAAACTACTTATTTGCATTTCCTTTTTTTTAACCTCATGCTTTAATTTTCTATTTTTTATTTATTTATTTGCTTATTTCCTGCCCTTATTATTTTTGAAAATAACTCAAAATGGTGAACACTCACCTTGCTCCTGTTATTTTCCCTACAACAACCCTGAGGTAAATTGGACGGAGTGAGTTTGATTGGCCCAAAGTCACCCAGCTGCCTTCCATGGCTAAGTCAAGTCTTGAACTCATGGTCTCCTGCTTTCCAACCCGGTGCCTTAACCACTGGTTCTATAGACCAAGCCAGCTCTATTAATTTCTATTAATCTATCAAACCAAGTCTATTAATTTTTGTTTCTTCCTCCTTTTCTGCCCTTTGTTTAACGTTGCTTACCTTGAAAGGGCAGGAGTGCATATACTTGCCTCAGACTGAGATATGGGTGGCAAATAAATTTGATTATAATAATACTACTACTCAATGAAAATGGTGTAACTATTAAGAATGAAAATACATATTTCTATTTTCTAGGTACTTTGGCGAAAATCTGAAAGTTAAAACACAGAATCCTGAGGCAACTGCTTTAATTCAGAGAGCAACAGAAGGGCTAATCAAGTCCTTGGAGAAGGAAGGAATAGATCAAGTGATGGAATGGGAAGTAGATGAGATGTTAAAGTGGACAAATGCATTGAATTATGACGAGTAATGGTTTTAAAGTTCACCTTTCATTACTTTTCTAAATCTTATTGTTTTAAAATTATCCATTTTTAGCTTTTGATTTTTACTGTCAATTTATATTAATAAATTAATCTAATGTATTAACTCACACCCACTCTTTGGTCTTTCTCTCACGCACAGACACCAATCAAATCACAAAATATACAAGAGAGAGCAGCAGTAATATAGGAAATTATTTAATAAAAGCTTTTCTGTAACACCTCTTACACACCTTTTGTTATTCTTATAGTTTCACCTTGGTTTTGTTTTTGCAATTTGGATGGTTTTAATGGTTACTGCAATTTTTAGTGTAACACTGTAACCACTGAGAGTTGGGAGATTTAAAAAGTGTTTGTGTGTGTTAGAGACAGAGTGCAATGCTAGGAACATGTATATATATTACAGTCAAACTCGCGGCCCATGGGCTGGATGCATCATGCGCTGGCCATGCCCATGTCGAGTTTAGCAAAGGGGGAAAAAGTCGCAATATGTCATGTGACGATGCCGTGACAACGCGAGTTTGACACCCCTGCTCTAAAGTATGGATTGCAATTTGGTTATTACTGCTCCATTTTATTCACTTTGCTTATTGTTTACCTAGATATGTTAAACTATGGAAAGAAGTTGGAACAAGCAAGACTTCAGAAAGTTTTAAAGGTAAAACTTTTTCTGGTCATTCTTTACATAATTTTAATCTAAAGATAAGAGTATTGGATCATAAATTACATGGGTAATTAAAGACTCCTGCAGCACGAGACTGATGTGTGATGATGGCAGAGCAGCTGGTGTTGTAATCCCACAGATGCATAATTCCTGATTCTCTGTAGAATTAGGTGTATAACGTTATGGAGGCAAATCTTTGATTAATTAAAATTTTAATTAATTCAGTTAACTTAAAACAATTATGGCATAATTAATTAGTATTTTGTAAAAGTGGATGAAAACAAATATGAATTGGAATTGCGTTGGTAGCCATGCTGATCATAGAATACACGATTTGGATCTTTGTTATAATTTATTTTGAGGGATTTGCTATGTGAACATTTCAAATATATTCCTTTAAGAGTGTCTAAAATAAATGTGGATTTTATAAATGCAGAAAAATGATATTAATATTGAAGTCTTAGCTTTCATTATTTCTAGAGAAGCAAGTCTCTAGGCCCAATCAAATATCTGAAGTCAGTTTGGTAAGAATTATGACCTGTTGCAAGATTATATATATTACTATTTGTGGAATTTGTGTTATGCCATCTTTTCTCCCGAAGTTCAAAAAGTGCTTGTGGTCTCAAACCTCATCCCTAAAAATAGACACAGAATACAATATTGCAGATGCAAATGTGCCATTTTGCAAGTTATTGTAGAAAATAAACTTCTTAAAAAAAGATTATGCCTATCCAACATTACTTTATAATTCAAGGATAAATCTAAATTCAGTAAATTTGAATTGGGTATATCTTCTAGGAATGCAGGGGAGTTACACTTTGTGTCACTATCATGCAATATTATCTATGAATAAATACCTTGAATTCAGTTTTCCACTGTAAATGATTTTAAAATAAATTTGTGCTCTTATAAAGTTTTATTGTATAAATATTCATTTGTATGTTTACCTTTAGCTTTCCAGTTTACTCAACAACACTATAACGTTTCTGAACTGATACCAAAGGATATCCAAGAAATAATGCGATCTCAGCTAATGTAGACTAAAAGAGAGACCTATTATCAACTCACTTTAATAGGTGCAGAAGAAAAAAAAAACACATCTGACAACTGAACATTCATCAGTCACAACAGTATCAACATAAAACTTCAGGAGACAAATAGAAACTCAGTATAAAAAGATGAAATCTATGCATTTGTCAAGTTAATGTGCCTTAACACATTAACATAAAATGTAATGAATGTAAAGAAATTTGAAATTAAATTTATTTAGTTTCCTAGTGAACTTATTTTGTGATAGATGACATGTCTGTTGCAATACACACAATTAGTAACATTTCTTAATTCTCCAAGATTTATTTTTAATCATTAATTTTTTTGATTCTGACAAGTTTAAGATATTACATATAAGTGAGCAAAGATATGGAAACAACACAATCACATATTATTGTTTAGGTAGTGATAACAGAAGAAGGTCCCTGCTAAGGTTTGGCATCAATCTATAAACAATCTGAGTGACCATCAATCAGTAGCTGGAAAATTTGAGCTTTCAAGGCTGTCTCTACTAAAATCTGAAATATTAGCTTTCCCATCCTGTCAACTATAATATGAATATGAATTTTCCACATACCAATTTAAAGGCAAACAGACAAAATTCTTCCATTCTTTTTATAGCTCACTATGGCTTTATGCACAAATGGACTATAATAAATAGATATGAAAGAGAAATGCATGTTCAAAAGAATTTGGCTTTATTGTACATTTTAAAAGGCACTTTTTAGGACCTCTGCATCTCATAGCATATCAATACACAAATAGTAATCTAACGCAAAGCAAATAAAAAAATACTTCCACATGAATAGTGCATTGTTTCTCCAAAAAAAAAAGCATATAAAAAAAAAGCATATGCTCATAATAGTGCTTACAATATATTTTAATTCACAAAGTTCCTTCAGTAACTTGTTTCAGGTTCCAAAGTGCACATACAAGTTACAACAAAAGGATTAGCTTATTATGGAACTAAATTTAATTAATAATGAAATGTAAAATAAGGCTATCTTTCCCATGATAAAGAACAAGCTTACTGTACTAGTTGGACATAGGAATTTCTTGCTATGGTAGTATAAACTAAAACTTTTACTGGAATTATTATGTTTTTAAGAAATCTATGTCTACATTCATTTGTAAAAAAAAAAGAAAGAAAGAAAAATTCCCCTCCTACATTATTATAGCATGAAGTAGGATAGATTATGCCAGTTTGTCAAGTCAAAGAACTGCACTCTTCAGTAATAATGAAAAGTAATGCACTATGTAGCACTATACAATTATTTCTGATTGTAGGTGTTATTGTGAATTTCTACTTTTCTTTTGAAATGTCTTCAGAACCACACATATATTATATAGGTAAAGGTAAAGGTTCCCCTTGCACATACATGCTAGTCGTTCCCTACTCTAGGGGGCGGTGCTCATCTCCGTTTCTAAGACGAAGAGCCAGCGCTGTCTGATGACAATTCCGTGGTCATGTGGCCGGCATGACTAAACGCTGAAGGCACACGGAACACTGTTACCTTCCCACCTATTTTTCTACTTGCATTTTTACATGCTTTCGAACTGCTAGGTTGGCAGAAGCTGGGGCAAGTAACGGGAGCTCACTCCGTTATGCGGCGCTAGGGATTCGAACCGCCGACTTTTCTGATTGACAAGTTCAGCGTCTTAGCCACTGAGCCACCGCGTCCCCTGTACATTATACATTTTATATAAATAAATACAATTTCCTGTTACTGCTTTTTAAAAAGCCTACAACTTTATATATATTATAAATCAGAAATCCCTAAATATTTATATAGCAGGATGCTATAGCAGCATCATTGTTAACATGCATGGATGATGCACGTTTTTATTTTGAGTACATTCTCTCATCTTGTCTAGGAGAAAGGCAACATGACCGTATTGCAGTAACAGGCTTGATGTCAGTTTGATCATTTTAAATGCAGCAGAAATAAGAACTACTATGCTGCAGTTAACATTCTTAAACCAAAGAAGGAGTAGGGCTTACTGAAAAATATTTTCTTTGTTAACGCAAATTGTAATAATGTTAATTTCCTGAAATTCTTGTCTGCGGGTTAAGACCAGGAAGCTATGTTCCTAGTTATACCAATGCAAGCAAAAGACAAATCCTTCTGGGACGTCCACAGAATCTTACTGCTTTCATCTTAAATATATATAAAAAAGGGACAGGGCTTACAGTACAACACTGATATTGCTTTCATCACATTGGAATAAGTGCAATACAGTAACACTTTTTTATTCAACATTTTCCATGTAATATTTTTAAATTCTACTTTCCTTAGCAACCATTAAATGTTTGTAACAGCTTCTGGAAATCATGTCTTATTTCCTTATAGTATATTTTTTATACCCATGGTTTCCACCCTGGGAAGAGGCGGCTAAGATTTTTGGGGTCCATGGCTTGCTGTATGAGGAAGTTCACCTGGCCGGCCACGCTGAGCACTGTACCTTCTTCCATTCCTTTAAGTTTCTCCTGAAGTCGTATCAAAACACGCTCTGCCACTTTATTGAACAACTGGTTTTCATTACTGAGAAGGAAACAAGGGTTTTAGGAGGCAGACAGATACTAATTCATAAATACAAAAAATACAAAATAATAATAAAATTTGTCCTTACTTTGCTTTTTTGTTACATCCTTGATCAGCACTACTGAAGTTGGAGCTGACATCAGCTTCATCTTCTGACCTTTGCTGCAGATATAAAGCTTTCAAAGGATTCATGGTCCAATCAAAAAGAGGGTCATATAGAAGTACCTAAATATCAAAGGAGACACAATTATGTTCCTAAACAGAACTTCTAGGCCAAAATTCAGAATTGTTCAACCCATACATTCAACTATTGAAATCTGGTTCCATCAAATAACCAAATCAAATAAATAGAGATAAGGTTGCCTCAATCTGCAATCCCAAGTGTTATATTTTGTTACTGGCTCTTATTTCTGTTCACTGACAGGAAGAATGCTCATTCAAGGATTTTATGGCTGTAAAGTATATGGATTTTTTTATTTTGGCAGTACAGCAACTGGGGTCTGGAAAGGAGACTGTAGCTCCTTCCCAAACCAACACTTGATTAGTATGTTACTACACAATACGTAATTCAATTAGAGAAGTTGCTACCATGAGATGTGGTGCTGGCTACCAGGATGGCTGGCTTCAAAACAGGGTTGGGCCAATTTATGAAAGTCATGGTGGTCAAGGGCTGTCAGCTTTGATGGCAGTGACTGCCTCTGAAGGCCATTTGCTGGGTGACTAGCAGGCTTCGTTGTGCAGTTGGTTGGATACTGTTGAGAACAGACTGCTGGACCAGATGGGCACAGTTCTGATCCAGCAGGCCATTACTTAGGTTCTTATATCCCTTCAGGAGCCTTCACAGTTATCCATTACATAGCTATTTAGATAGATGGATAGGCAGACCCCCGTAGCCCTTAATTCAAAGTTCCAACATGATTCATAGTAAATTATTATCCGTTTTCTGAAGTCTGTGCCTATGCTGCTGTTTGCCATATCTTTGTATCATCAAGCAATACAACATGAAGAGATTTCTGAACACCTTCCCAAATTGGCCAACTGCTTTGTTTTTTTACTTAGTGTTAAAATGATTGAATGTCAGTCTAATATTTCTTGTACTATAAGTCTGCTTTATTTGAACTGATGAACTCATTCATGAATTCAGAATGATATTAACTTGTTTCAGTAATAATGCACTATTTGTATTACATTACCTCAGTTTCAATGTTCACTGAGATAGGAGAGGAATCAGAATTTTTAATCTATTAAAACAGTAGAGTACTTTAATCTACTTACCAACTAAACTGTCTTTTGGGATGCAAAATATTAAATATGGACTATAGTAGTCCAACACACCAAAGTATATTTAATATAAGAATTACTTTCAATGTTATATTTAGCCAAGAAACACTTACTTCTACAATAGTTAGCAGGGCTTCTTGAGAATTTCTCATAACATTCATGGTTTTTTCACAGCATCTAAATGATTTCCAAACAGATTTTAATGTCACAACCAGTTTTTATTTTAACTTTTATAGAAAACCTTACAATGTATTTTTTCTAGGTAGTAATAAAGTTTACAATCAGCTCACATGGGGTACATTTTTATAAATGAAAACGGTTCTTACCAACTCAATTTCCCAAACTGTAAAAACTGAAATCCTGGCATACATAATGCTAAAATGCTTTGAAAGGAGTAACATACCTCCTGAAGACCCCCTCAACACCAGCAATGCCCATGCCATCGACTATGTCTCTTGTTAGCCTAAAAGGTACAGTCTCTGGAGTAGGAAGGATTTTGCCCTGCTCAAAGGCAACTCCTAGTGGAGAAAAGAAAGCAGAAGTCGAAGGTCACTGTGTTAAAAGCACTTTCCCCAATCCCCATCTACCAATATAGCATTACAAGCATTATTTTTAAAAGGCAGGAAATACAGTTGATTGCAGCAATGAGGTAACTGTACATATTTTTAATGATTATTAAATTACAGTAGTGCTCCATTTTCGACCATTCATTTAGCAAACATTCAAAGTAATGACATCACTGGTTATAACTGGGCTTTGAGTTCCATTGTCCCAGCATCCCTGTGGACATGTGATTGAAATATGGGTGCTTGGCAACAGGCTTGCAATTACAATCAACTGCACTGCGCCATGATCACGTGATCACCATTTGTGATCACCAGCTTCCCCAGAAAGTCAATGGGGAGGCTGGCAGGGAAGGTCAAGTCATAAGAGTAAAGCTCCCATATTCATGCACCCTCTCCTAACCCCCCTGGATTTACACTCCCGGATCCTTGCTGCACCTCCCTGCCACCTGTGCACCTTCCCCGACCATCACGGCAATTCCCTGGCATCATTGGGTCTTTTTGCACCTGGCAGCAGCCACTTACCTTCCCTGTCATCCTGCTTGCAAGCACCTGGGTCTTACAACTTTCTGTCAGCTTCCCCTCTGATTTGGTTGTGAGAAACTGGTAAGAAGCTGCCTCACCTAATGACTGTGAGATTCAACTGACAACAGCAACCAGGAATGCAAGGATTGCTGTCACTAAGCAATGTAATTGTGCTTTACATATATGCTGCTTAGGGATGGAAATTCTGGCCCCATTGTAAATTGAGGACTACTTGTTGTGTCTTTTCAAAAACAGGGGCAAGAAGAAATATGACCAATCTTGTCAATGCTTTTGGAGTTCATAGTATAAATTTTGCTTTT